TTATTATTATTATTATTTTATTCAATTTTTTTTATTTATTTATTTATTTATTTTTCCTGTGGTACGAGTGGGGGCACTAGGTTGGGGTCTCAACCGCACCCTCTCCCAAATACATCTCAAGTCTCCGCTAAGTGCGGAGCCCATTCCCCCCGTCCTGCTCTCCCTCCGCTGGCTGGCGTCGGGGCTCACCGGTGCACTGGTGGAGCTGGGGGTGGATGCCCGGGGGACTGCTGGCTCATTCCTGGCGGCCTCTCCGCTGGCCCCGGCCGGCCGGGGCTTTGCTGGGGCTCCTGTCTGGGGATCGGGTGCCATTGGGGCCTCGGATCCCTGGGGCCTGGGACTGGATCCGCTTCGGGGTGGGGCTGGCTGTTGTTCGGGGATTTTCGGGGTCGGTGCCGGTGCCTTCGCTACGATGCTGGTTCCTGGGCGGTATTTCTTTCCTATGCCGGTTCAGTGGTATCGGTTCGGGGGGGGGGGGGGAGCTGCACGGCATGGTGGGGTGCGGGTCTTGGGTCCTGTTCTGGGCTCCGGTTTTTCCGCTCGCACTTCTCCTCTTGCCTATTTATTTTAATTGTAATTATTAATTTATTAATTAATTAATTTATTTACCTATTTATTTATTTAATTATTTATTTATGTTTTTCTTTTTTCTTTTTTCTTCTTTTTTTTTTGTCTCTTCCTCGGTGGGGGGAGCGGTTGCGGGCGGGTCGGTGTCTGGCGTCCGCTGTCGCATAGTGGGGGCTCCTTCTTTTTTTTTTTTTTTTTTTGGGGGGGTTTGGCATGTCTGTTTTCTCGGGGGGCGGGCGGGCCTGCTGGGTGGGGGTCCTGCTGGCGGCGCGCCGCTGGTGTGTGGGGGTCCGGGCGGCTCCGGCGGGGGTGGTGTTGGGGGGCCGGTCTGGGCGGGCTGGCTGCGCTGGCTGGGTATTCGGGTGGGTTTTCCCTCCTTGAGGCATGGCGGGGCTGCTCTGTTCCCGCTGATCGCGGCGGGTGGGGCTGCGGGGCGGGTGGGGGCTTGGAGTGGCTATGGCCGGCGCGTGTTGGGGGGCCGGGGCGGCGGAGCTGCTCTGGCCGCGTGTCAGGGCCTGGTGCGGGTGGCGGAGGGGGGCGGCGGACGTGGCTTTGCTGCTTTGGCTTCGTCCGGTGGGGGGGGCGGCATGGTTCGCTCCGCTCTGGCTTTGTGCTGTACCTCGGGCTGCTGGGGGGGGGTGGTTGCGCCGGCTGCGGTCTGCTCTTCTTGCGGTTTTGCGCCGGGCGGCTTTTCTGCTCTCGGGCTGATTCTGTGCGCGGTGTGTTTCGTTGCGTGCTGCTGGCATCGGTCTTGGTGGGGTGGGGCTTCGCTTTTGGCCGGGGGGGGGGGGGGGGGGGGGCGTTTTGGGGGGGTCCCGCGGCGCTCGCGGCCGGTTCGCGGCGGATGCGCGTGGGCCCCGGCCGGGGGCGGGACCGCCTGAGTGTTTTTCCTGGGTGGTGCGGTCGCGGTGGGTGTTGCGGCCGGTCGCCGGGGCTTGGTGCCGGGGGGCGGGGCGTGTTTCGGTGCTCTGTAGGGCTGGGGCGTTTCGGTCGGCGCCGTGGGGGGGCTGCTGTTCGGTGCCCGGCCCTACTTCGGGGTGGCCGGCTGCCGGCGGGGCCCGCGGACTCGTCCCCGCGGCTCCCCGGGGCGCCGGCATGGCGGTGGCTGGGGGGCTTCTTCATGGCTGTCTCTCCTCCTGCCTTGGGGGGCGTCTGATTTCCGGGGCTGGCCCCGCCTTGGTGCCTTCGCTTCTGGGGTCCCTTTGGGCGCCTGGGGCTTTGGGTCTCCCGGCGCTGGACTCGGTGCTCTGGGGGGGGCGCCTCTCCGGCTCTCCACAACCACTATTGAGCATTTTTTTCAATGGTTAAAACTTTACATGCACAAGTTCACCCTCACAAACAACTACAGGTGCTAAGCTTCAGGTACTTAGAGATTCACTTCCAAACAGAAACCCCACAGTAATATCTTCAGGTAACACAGAGTACATGTCAGACTTAATAATATTACTTTAGCGATAGTTTCAAGGTGTTTGCTTTATTGTATATCTCGTACCATGTCTTTTGGTTGTGCTGTTCTTTTTTTTTTTTTCATCTCATTGCAGGTGATGAAGCAGACTGAAAATGTTTTGTCATTGTCTCCTTCCTATCTCCTCTTTCTTTCATCTTTTGTCCTTTTTTTTTTTTTTTTTTCTTTTTCCTTCTTCTTCTTCTGTTTTTCTGCTCTACTTACATTGCAGTGTCCATATGAACTGTAAAACTCCCTGCATAATTATAATAAAGCAATTTATATACATGAAACAAGTGGAGCAGTATGGCAATTGCGATACCGCTACACTTGTGAAAGTAAAATCTGTTGGGCTCCTTTTGGCATCAAGACAATTATTCTTATTGCCACCTAGCCAGACAGGACACTGTAAAAAAAAAAAAAAAGAATTGCAAAAAGAAAACCCTCCACTGATACCATTAAACAGTTTTAGGGCACAACAATCACAATCCATTGTAATATATTTTACAATGATTTTATTATATATAGCATCAGCATAAGTGTGTTTATTATTGCAAGGTGGAAAGAGAATGACAGATGGCCATAAAATGTTTAAAGGAAATTAAATCTCTTGATTTGAACAATCGTATATTAAATCATAGCAGCAGATTGCCTTTAAAAATCTCATATGTATTTCAAAAATCTAATTTGTAACCATGGTTACTTTACTGTGAGGTTTGATGTAGAAAATAAGTGAACAAAGACTTGTATGCATGACTATGGAGAACATCAGACATGTCACAGACAATGCTGGTGGAGCAGCAAAACTGACATCCTGGGAAAGTTAAGATTCGAACTGCAGAACTTTGAACAGCGAGACAGAGGATCCTCAGCAAAGAAAATCTGCTATGTGGAGAACATTTGGTCACACATCTTACCCCCAGAGATCAATAATTCAGGTGAAGAAAATAAAAAAAAACAAGCACAGATATAAGTTCCAACCACTTGCATTTTCAGCCAAACAACATATTCAGAGACTAATCACGTGGTTACGAGAGTAGCAAAGAATAAGCTACTATTTAAAGCCAGCAGAGATGCTGTTTAAGGTTGCAGCAGACAATAACTTCGAAGAAGGTGGCCTGATCTGATGAGTTTGATGAAATCAAACTTACTGAAGTAATATTACACTTTGGGAATGGTCTTTGTTAGCAGGAATAATTACCTGTCTAGAGTTTAGATAGATAGATAGATAGATAGATAGATAGATAGATAGATAGATAGATAGATAGATAGATAGATAGATAGATAGATAGATAGATAGATAGATAGATAGATAGATAGATAGATAGATAGATAGATAGATAGATAGATAGATAGATAGATAGATAGATAGATGGTAAATGGCATGTACTTATATAGCGCCTTTATTCAAGTCAGGAGACTTGACCAAAGCGCTTTAAACTACATTCATTCACCCATTCACGCACACACTCACACACTGATGGTGGCAATCTACATTGTAGCCACAGCTGCTCTGGGGCTCACTGACAGAAGTGGGGCTGCCGTACACTGGTACCACAGGGCCCTCTGGCCACCATCAGTAGACAATGCAGGTGAAGTGTCTTGCCCAAGGACACAACGACACTGAAAGTCGGAGTCGGGGCTTGAACCGTCTATCCTTCGATTTCAGGGCAAACTCCTACATCCAACGCCACTGTCGCCCCATAGATAGATAGATGTAGGTAAATAAAAGGTGATACATATGAGGGTCAGCTGGAAGCTCATCTTCAAGAAGAGCTGAAGAGCATTTTGATGGGAGCTGAAACAGCTTTCACAAACAAGACCACTTTGGATGGATATGTCCTGTACGACTGAAAATCTACACCAGCCTTACTACAGTACCACACCTACAATCAGCTCAGTATATAACAGCATGCAGCGATCTATTTCAACTCCAGGTCTTAATCCAATAAATTATCTATAGCAATACTTAAATGGGATTTAAAAAAAATAAATAACCATGACTAATCAGGTAATTTTGGAAAACTGAATGAGAAGTAAAACCTTTATTTTTATTTGTGAAAAAGGAGGCTGAATATAATTGCACACACGTTTAAGATTTTCAAAATCAAAACACTTTGGAAACATCTAATCTGCTTCCACTTCAGGTATACACTCCTTTGTGTTCACCCACCACATTCAGTTCCTGTAAAGCGCATTGAAGTTTTTTGTTTTAAAGCGAAAAAATGTCATAAACTTGATTGAGGATGAGCAGTTTAGCAAAGCATTGTAGGTTTAGGGGTGAATGTAAACAGTGTCCAGTGGGGGGCATTTCAATCGAACCTCTATGATGAATATTATTCATAGTTTTGATCTAATCTGACCTAAATCCTCGTGCTCTGGGCTTACAAAGGCTAAACTGTGGAATACTTATGAGCTCATAGAACCTCTTTCTCTCACATATTACCAGAGCTTTCTCCTATATCTGATAGGAGTCATTTCATTTAAAGGCTAAAAATGTTACTACCACCCTTAATGCAAACTGGGAAAAGTTATCCTCCTTTTTAACTATTAAGAAGCTGTGACTGATTTCAAACAATAATAGCTTTTAAAGACACAGCATCAAATGGTAAATCAACTTCCTAAATCCAATTTAAATATTTTTTATGATGTTTGAAAAGCTTTACATATTCATAATGTGCAAAGTTCCCACCCCAAATCTAGACTTTATTTGCAGATTCCATGCTTTAAGAAGGGGTTTGAAGATTTTCTTGACACTTCCCTTTTATGTTACTGGAAACAAGATCCTAATGCTGGAAGAAGCACTTGGTGTAATTAACAGAGCCAGAGCACAGAAAACTTTCTGCCAAAACTCTGAGGTTTAGTGGAAAGGACCTTGTATTAGTACCAATCTATTTGCATTAAAGTCTATAAGGAAGTCAAGCTCACAATTAAATTTATTTGAAGTTTGCAGCCGAATAAGAAAAAATAGTAGCAGATTGGTACTCACACTAGAAAGTGGTAGAGGAAGCATTTCAATCCTGCAGGTCTTTCTAGAAAGTTGTAAACATCCCCCTGCATGCTAGTCTTAATGTAAGGACTCTGGAACTCCTTCTGATGATTGCGCAGCCAGCTGGAGCGAGGCAGAGGTGGCGGGATAGGGGTCACAGACGGTTGGCTGTGTGCGATCTGCAACTCCGGATCCTTTGTGTCAGCTGGAGGCAGGCAGGGGAAGCCTGATCCATTATTCACCGCCTGGGGGTCTATTTCCAGCGAAACTGGTGAGTAGCGGCTGATGTCAGGTGCAGGAACCCGCAGGGCGCTGCAACCGGTGGTGGAACCAGCGGAGGCTGCCAGGTCCATCTCCTGGTCCAGGCTGAGGCTGATGCTCGTGCCGGCACATCCATTGGGGCTGCAGCGTATGAAGGAGCTCCTCATCCTGCTGCCGTAGTCCCGTTGTACATGGCAGGTCATGTGGAAGGAGCGGGCTCGCCTTTCCCCCATTATGCCTCTTTAGGGTGGTCTGGCTGGGGCAGAGGGGGCTAACAGCGACTTTAAAATCCTGGAGGTTCTGACCAAGGTTCTGATAGGAGGGAGCAGCCCAGCAGAAAATGAGAACTAGCTACCTGCAGCTGAGAGGAGGGCTCTTTGTGGGGCTTCATATGTGTCCATACCTAAAAAAGAAAAGGTGGCATGAGTCACAAAGATGTACAGTATAAATATCATCGCTTACATAGTGCACTGATCTTCTCTTGTTTGACCTTTATCTTAAATATTACTTCGAATGAAAGTTTAGATTAAAATTAAGCATGCAAAGTTGCCATGACAACATGTAAACAATTCAGGAGAGTTTCACAGCTTGTAAAAATAGAAAAAAAGCTTTAAGCTGAAAGGAAACAAAAAGGCCATCTTCATCACCATTTCCAAACTACACATTATATTTAGTTTAATGGTATTTCTAACTCATTAATATGAAGCAACAAAAGAATTGTGACTTAACTGTTAGCTTTCAGAAGTCACCAGCCAGTTTTGTGTTTCTCCTGCTGGGTGTAATAGCTGCATTTCCCTAACAAACTTGCACCACACTGTAGGGATATCATGTAAAAAAAAAAAAATGTAAATGCCCTTATGTTGAACAAAAAAATGCATTTAAAATCACACATGAATAAGTTTGTTCAGGCGATAACTCTGCAGGTAAAGTACTTTTAACTATATGAGGGACTAGGCTATGTCAAAAACAGTTTAGTTTTGAGAAAAAGATCACATATCCGAGGCTTAATGCATTTTAAATTGTTCTGTAAAGCTGTTTGCTATGAGGAGATACAATACAAACCTTAATGCTGCACCAAATATGGAATAGTAATCATTATTATAAAATCATGTTTGCAATATGCTTTGTTTGTTCTAGCAGTCAGCACAGGATTTAGAGATGGGAGGAATTCCTCAAAAATAATTTACAACCAAAGGAGTAACTAAGCAAGATCTATAATTTCAATTTTACATTTTTTTTTAAAGAGAGCGGAGTGAAGAGAATTTGTAAATAAAGCTACTTCTTGACCTCAGAACTGAGAAACGTCTGTGATAGGACTACTTTGATGCTCAAAAATGTATGTTCACACTTGGTATTTTCTAAACTTTGTAGAATATTCAGCTAAGAATTATTGAAAGCCATTAAAATAATTAAAGCTCCTTCAGTTGCAAAGACCTGTTGATCAGAAACAAACCTTTTCGGGGGATGTTGTTGGGAGAATTTCATTGTTTGCTGTTTTACTACCACTGGGGCTTAAAATGACAGTCCATTGTTTCAAGCTGAAGATTTCCATTCATAAAAAACAGTCTTATAAAAATGCTAAACTGAAATGCTGCATTCTTTTGACCTCTGTCATCATAATAAATAAATAAATAACAGGTAATGCTGTGCTTTTATTTAATGTTTTACACCGTTCCAGTATGCAGCACCCTATCTCATTTCCACCGTCTCGCTCTGACGATTTTCTTTTGTGAAATCTCCATTCTGCGTGATCGCTCTGGATGGTCAACAAACACCCCTCCCTCTCTTTCCCTCTCCTCCATCTGGAAAGGCAAAACAGATGCACCACATGCACTAGGAATATATATAGAGAGAAAATAATTCAGCTGTCCACACCAGAGTGTAAGCCCCCGAATGTGACCTTTTGCTTAATGGTTAAACAAAAACATGTCACATCAACGTGCAGCTGGATAAAAAAAATTAGACTCATAATAATGCAGAGAGCTGTGGCAACGTGCATTACTGTTCACTGACTTCTCTTTCACTTTTTTTGTCCTCAACAGCAACAGTCACATCAGATGGACACTTTGAGGCAGAAACAGATTATATTCAAACCTAAAGTTAAGGTGCCATGGAAAGAAGCTTATATCCTTGATTTTTCGTTTTGTTTTTTAAAAAAAAGCTGGTTACTTAGAAGTTTTGTGTAATAAACAAACACAAAATAGAACCAAACTAAGAAAAGAAAAATGATACATAGAGGTTTAGCAACAAAAACACTGATGGTTATCATAGTGGCTCAAGAGCAGCCTGTAATGCTATCTTAGAAACTCTTGGCTTCGTTCAAAATGTGAATAGTCCCACACATTCACATCTTCATACTTTGGACCTTGTGCTGACGTATGACATTGAAGGTGAAGAAAAGCAGTATTCCCTCACAACCCTGCCCTCTCTGACCACTTTTTGATAACCTTCAGGATTGATTTAGCGGAGTTCTCCTCCCCCAAAACAGGGTTTCCCTTTGGCAGATCATTATTAGATGTGTCACTGAGCAGTGCTGAAGAGTGCAAAAGTTTAGCTTATTCCCCTTCACAGGTTAATGCAGAGCTGTGCACTCTGAAGCAAAATGCAAGGAAACTGGAGAGAAAATGTTGCTTTACATGCCTACGGGAATCCTAAGCAGTCTGGAAAAATTGTTTACTGCTGTATACAAGGAACCTTTTTAACGCAGGATCAACATATTTCTCCTCATTTATAGAACAAATAAGAATAATCCTAGATATCTTTTTAATACAGTTGCCAAACTCACCCAGAGCCATAGCTCTGTTAAACCGTCCATCCCACCTGCTCTTAGCAGTAATGATTTTATGGGATTCTTTATAAATAAGATTATTTTTATTAAAAATAAGATCATTAGCACTCCTCTAACTATGAATGGTTTATTTGTGGAAGGTGAGGCAGCATCTGTGGCAGCTGTAGAATTTGAACAGGATTTAGACTGCTTTGATTCAGTTGAACTTTCAGAGTAAGAAAATTATTGCCTTAATCTAAGCCTTCAACTTGTATGTTAGATCCAGTTCCAACCAGGTCATTTAAGGAAGTATTCGCTTTGATCTCCTCCTCCATTTTAGATGTGATTAATCTATCCCTGTAACAGGGATATGTACCAAAGGCTTTTAAGGCTGCTGTAATTAACCTTAAAAAAATATAATTATATAACCTCAAAAATTTTATCCAATCTTCCTTTCTTATCTAAAATTCTTGAGAAAATAGTTGCCAAACAAGTGTGCAACCACTTACACTATAATGAAGTTTTTGAAGAGTTTCAGTCTGGCTTTAGAGCTCATCATAGCACTGAAACAGCTCTGTTGAAGGTTGCTAATAATATTTTTATGGCCTCAGATAATGGACTTGTATCTGTGTTCGTTTTGATACAGTCGATCATAAAATTCTTTTAGAAAGACTTGAATACTTTGTAGGGATTGAAGAAACAGTGCTAGACTGGTTTAAATTGTATCTATCTGAGGATTTCAGTTTCATTTTCAGTTCCACTTTGTATCTCTACTTCTTTCTGTATGTCTGCTTCTGTCTCCTTGAACCCCACTCGGCCGATGGCCTCTCACACTGATCCTGGTTCTAATGGAGGTTTCTTCCTGTTAAAGGGAGTTTTTCCTCTCCACTGTAGCTACAAGCATGCTTAGTGTGAGGGATTGCCTTTGAGTCAATGAGTTAATGCAGTCAATTGGTTTTCCTTAGATAGAAAACTTTAAATCAATTTGACTCTATGATCTGGTTGAATTGCAAAGTGCCTTGAGAAAACATGTGGTGTGGATTGGCACTATGTAAATAAACTGAATTGAATCTGCAACCAGACTCTACAAGGCGACACTACAATAGCAATAACTTGTGCAATGTATAATGTGCAATTTACTGTTTGATACTCTGTGCAACAACCTGTTTCTACATATTTGACACTCCGTGCAATAAATATAAATATCCATCTATATAAATACCCATGTAAACACCCTGTGCAATAACCCTGTATAATGATCCTACTATGAAAAACTTGTTTTATTTAAATTTTAAAAAAAGCTGTCATATGCGGACACACTCTATATACTGTATATACCCCATACACCTCTTTCTTCCTTTGGCACATTCTTCTCCTTTGACTATTTGAGCTGATGTAACGAGTTAATTTCTCCACTGTAAGATCAATAAACTATATCAATCCATAAAGGATTGAATTGAAAAAGTGGAGTGCTTGATCTACTGTGCAAGTTTGCATACAGTAGATTCAACTAAGAATCTCTTAATATAATTTAAATCTTCCTTAAAATGGGTTGAGATCGAGACTTTGACGAGACCATTCCATTATATGAACACATCTCAATTCTAAACTGTTAATTGCATGCTGAGTCAATGACAAAATGCAAGTCAATGTTAACTGTTTCTATGTGCTCTTCCAGGGGGAGTGAAACCTGTAAAGTCAATGACTTAATGCAGTCAGCTAGGCTACCTGAGAAGAACATTTTTTACTGATTTTTCTGTATGGTTTGACTGAATTGCCATTATAAAGTGCCTTAAGATGACGTGCTGTAAATAAATAAAACTGAATGGACTTGTAGTGTCCGCTGTTTATTGAGAGACTTTCGACCCATGAATTGATAACAAAAGATCTTTGAATATAGAGGGATTTCTTCTAGGATTGCTCTGTATTTAGATCCATCTATTTGCGCTTTGAACAGCTTTCCTGTCTCTCTCCCTGGAGAATAATGCTTCCATCTCCACATTTTACAGTGACTATGGTATATTTACAGTAATGCACAGTGTTAGTTTGCATGGTTTTTAACTGTGTTCCCTGCATGGCTTTTGGCAAAAGATGAACAGAACTTATTATAGCTTCCCTTCAACAATAACTTCATTATTGCCTCTTTTGATTAAAGGCCAGATTTGTGAATAAAACTGAGGACAGTTTTTCTCACCTAAGCTATAGATGAGCTACTCTGTGTCTCTTGGCTGCCTCTACAACTAATGTTTACCTTTTTCTGGATTTGTTCAGGTGCATGACCATGACTTTATAAAATATGTAACTTCTGAAAGAATTTGGATTTACTGGAATTATTAGGGGTAACTGAATACAAGGGGACTGAAAGCAAATGTTGAAATTTTTTTAAATGAGCTTTAAAAAGATATACATGTTGTTCAGTTTACAATCATGCACTAGTTTCCTTTTATGTGTGACATAAGATTCTCCTTAAAAAGTTCTGGGGAAAAAACATGAATATTGTGAAGAAGTTTATGAGTTATAAAAGTTTTATTCTACTATATAAATGATTACCACTCTTTTTATCAAAGAAAACAGGTGATATCAGTAGGGCTTCTTGTTCTAAGATGTATTTGTGCTATGACTAGTTTAAGTTTTGTTTTTTATGCTTGTCTCAGTCTAAAAGGTTGCTTTGATGTAAAAATAAAATAAAAAAAGAACTGAGAAGGCTTCATAAATAGTTTAATGTTGCTTTTTGTTTTCTGAATCCCTGTTTGGTTTGGATTAAAATAGTTTAGGACTGACATCTCCAAGTTGAACAAAACCTCATCCCATTATTTGGGAGTTATCTAAAAAATGTCATTAAACTAGATCTAATGTAGTTAAGAAAAGTGAAAACTCATCCTTTTTTTTCTACATTTGAAAATGACATTTCTATAGGAAACTATACTTAAAACTGAAAGAGGAACACTTTCAATTTTTCACTCACATGAAAAGTTGGCAGACAGCTTTTATTTCTTAAAAATAAATAAATAAACAAACAAATAAATAAATAAATAAATAAATAAATAAATAAATAAATAAATAAATAAATAAATAAATAAACAATTCACCCTATATGATTGGAAAAAAAATCTCCTGGTGATACAAAGGCAGGGGTGGGGGACTGCAATTGAAAGCAGGTACCTGAGCTAAAGATGACTTCTGGCTTTGAAAGCAGCACCATAACACACAATGTATCCAATTACCGAGCACTGTGGTCTAAGAGAGCTGAACCCCCCGGAAGGTGGGCAGTAAAACATAACTCTTCCACACCGTTGTTTACTGTTTATCGCATAAATAAATCCCCACATAAGAGATGGGATTTATTTAAAATAAATAAAATAAATAAAAAATAAATAAAAGTAACTGTCCTCAGAAACTATGCAGCAGACGGGCAAAAATTATAAATATGTCAACAACAACAAAATCGGATTTACCTTAAACTCCAAGCTGAAGTTGTAATCTGCAAGTAATGTAAATTCCGGCTGAGACAAGAAAAAAATCCCTTCAGAGCTTTTCAAAAAAACAAACCCCATTCATACAATGCGTATAATAAATAAATCATCCAGCATCGTTCAGAAACAACGGCAATATCGCGAATGCAATCAAAGCAGCTGTCTTCTACCGGTTCCTGCCCCTAGGACCTGTCTCCTTGAAGCGCATCGCAGCTGCGCCTGGCCATATGCGACATTTAAAGGTTATTGGACATTGCACTACCGTCAATGTAAAGTCAAATATAACCACTATCTATGCAAGCACACTCAAAAGGCGTGATAATTGTCGCATTTTTAAAACTCTATATGCCTTATTTTCCATTTATTAACTTGCGGTTTAAGCTACTATTTACACTAAAGTGGACCTTAAAACCTAATGCCAGGCGTGTTCAAATCATTTGGAGTTGATCAGAAAATATTTACATCCTTTCTGTTTAAATATGAACTAAAGCAAAAATGGCACTTAATGTATATATTTTGTTTTTATAAAGCTTTGAGTTTTGAATATGAAACCCATACTTGAAATTTTATATTCAAAGACCAGATTCAATTAAATTATCATTTGCTCATATGAGTAGGAAAGTCATAATAACGAGAGTTTGGTTGCTTAAAATGGGCTTATATAAACCAATAAGGGTCTCAGTTTATCATCGTGTACAGTAGCAGTTGGAGCAAAATGTATCAAATATGTCAATTTTCCGGAGAGTCATTGAAGGCAGCAGCTGTTTGGAGAGCAGCAGCTGGCAGATGGAGAGCTAACAGCTGGTCACGCGTATGGAGCGCTCGCGTTTATGGATAATATCTAAGAAGATAAATAAAGGGAGGATATCACAGATGATTTTTAAAACATCATTCCCTTAGCCGCGGTTAGAGGATTGTCATTAACAAACTCCAGTCGGTTTGCAAATCTCTTTTTTTATCTGCAGGAGGCGCTAAAATACTCATTACTGGTAAAACCTCGACAGTTTCGCGCTTACAAAGCATTGTCACTTCTCGGATTCCGTAGATTGTGAGAGGAGAAAACATGGCGCTACTCGGTGGGAGGATGTTTCTGTCTCTAGGTCGAAGTAACATTTCTAATTTGGGGTTAAAGCAAACAACAAACAGAGTCACATATGCCACGGCTTTGTCCGTAAATTCTTCCGCTGGGAATAAAGGTGAGGTTTTTGCAAAAAAGGTCATTATTGCGAAAAGGACTATAACGGTCTACAGATGCAGGCTAAGCTAATCACATGAGTTACCAAAGCAAATTAGCCAACAGTCTCACCTCTTAAGGTGGAGGTTAAAAGATGTCGACTTAACTTGAGAGTGTAAAACTTAAATAATGATGTTTTACTACTAATTCTAATCAATGATGTTTTTGTATTTTTTAAGATCAATTTAGTAGAACTTGCTTTCAGAAAAATGTGCTGCATTATAATACCTGATGTTTAAGATGTCGCACCGCTGCAGTATGGGGCCAAAATGGTAGCTTTAATATTTGCAAATGTGTGTGGAGAGTTGTGTGTCTGTATCTCGATTTGTGTGTGTGCAGTGGGAATTGAAAATGTGTAAATAAATCTGTAAATGTGTGAGGAGATTTGTGTGTCTGTACAACAATCTGCAAATGTGTAAAACTACTTGTGTGTAATCCCTTTTGCAAATGTGTAAAAAATCCACAAATCTGTATTCAGATCTGCAAATGTGTACTGAGATTTGCAAATGTGTAAAAAATCCACAAATCTGTATTCAGATCTGCAAATGTGTACTGAGATTTGCAAATGTGTAAAAAATCCACAAATCTGTATTCAGATCTGCAAATGTGTACTGAGACTTGCAAATGTGTAGATCAATCTGTAAGCACACACAGAGACACTTGTGTCTGAAGTATTTTCGCTTCAAGACCCAGAAATACAGACAAATCATTGGTTACAAGTCAAGCAGTTTTTCGGTTGGCTCTCTTTACACACGTGATTTTTGCTACTCTTCTGCCGCGTGAGATGCACAAATGCCTAGAAGGATTTGTATGTGTATTTTCGCGATTTGTAACCCCTTGCGCAGGCTCGCAGGCTCACATGCTGCCCTGACCGCAGGCTCACAGACAGCCTCTACCTTTTTTTTTCCTCAGCTGCGGGAGTTGACGTGACAAGGATGATACACTATATTGCCAAAAGTATTTGCTCACCTGCCTTGACTCACATATGAGCTTAAGTGACATCCCGTTCCTAATCCATAGGGTTCAATATGACGTCGGTCCACCCTTTGCAGCTAGAACAGCTTCAACTCTTCTGGGAAGGCTGTCCACAAGGTTTAGGAGTGTGTTTATGGGAATTTTTGACCATTCTTCCAGAAGCGCATTTGTGAGGTCGCACACTGATGTTGGACGAGAAGGCCTGGCTCTCAGTCTCCGCTCTAATTCATCCCAAAGGTGTTCTATCGGGTTGAGGTCAGGACTCTGTGCAGGCCAGTCAAGTTCATCCACACCAGACTCTGTCATCCATGTCTTTATGGACCTTGCTTTGTGCATTGGTGCACAGTCATGTTGGAAGAGGAAGGGGCCAGCTCCAAACTGTTCCCACAAAGTTGGGAGCATGGAATTGTCCAAAATGTCTTGGTATGCTGAAGCATTCAGAGTTCCTTTCACTGGAACTAAGGGGCCAAGCCCAGCTCCTGAAAAACAACCCCACACCATAATCCCCCCTCCACCAAACTTTACACTTGGCACAATGCAGTCAGACAAGTACCGTTCTCCTGGCAACCGCCAAACCCAGACCCGTCCATCAGATTGCCAGATGGAGAAGCGCGATTCGTCACTCCAGAGAACGCGTCTCCACTGCTCTAGAGTCCAGTGGCGGCGTGCTTTACACCACCGCATCCAACGCTTTGCATTGCACTTGGTGATGTATGGCTTGGATGCAGCTGCTCGACCATGGAAACCCATTCCATGAAGCTCTCTGCGCACTGTTCTTGAGCTAATCTGAAGGCCACATGAAGTTTGGAGGTCTGTAGTGATTGACTCTGCAGAAAGTTGGCGACCTCTTCGCACTATGCGCTTCAGCATCCGCTGACCCCGCTCCGTCAGTTTACGTGGCCTACCACTTCGTGGCTGAGTTGCTGTCGTTCCCAAACACTTCCATTTTCTTATAATACAGCTGACAGTTGACTGTGGAATATTTAGGAGCGAGGAAATTTCACGACTGGATTTGTTGCACAGGTGGCATCCTATCACAGTTCCACGCTGGAATTCACTGAGCTCCTGAGAGCGACCCATTCTTTCACAAATGTTTGTAAAAACAGTCTGCATGCCTAGGTGCTTGAATTTATACACCTGTGGCCATGGAAGTGATTGGAACACCTGATTCCAATAATTTGGATGGGTGAGCAAATACTTTTGGCAATATAGTGTATATTGATACCATTCAGTAAGTAAAAAATTTAATCTATTATTAAACAAAAGGTTACGGAAAGATGGCAGAAGCTGTGGGAAGAGCATAGAACTGGAAGGTGGCTTTATAGTATTCAAAGGAAAATTGGTGCAATGAGGAGAACGGAAAGGAATAAAAAAGAGGTTATATCTAGATTAAGTTTCGGAAACACGGGGTTAAATTGAAACTTATTTAGAATGGGAACAGGAGGTTGTGGTTTTTGTTATCAAGGGGAGACGGTGGAGCATGTTTTGTTGTTTTGTTATAAATATTCTATGGAGAGAGGGGAATTATTAAGTTGGTTACAAGAAAATAAATTACAGTTAAATATACAAGATATTTTGGGGGGAAAAATCTACTTATGATTATTTTTGTAATTTGATAAACAATCTTGAAAAAACGAAATTGATAGAAAGGATATAAGTTTATTTATGTAAATATTGTTAATATTTATTTTTATTTTTCAGTGGGAAAATACATAGCATCCCGATCCACACTCCACTGAAGTAGATGGTGGTAATGCACATCATAAAGTTGCTTGCCAACCGCCATAAAACAGAAGCAGAAGAAGAAGAAACAGTTTTACTAATGCAAACTATAGAAAAAATTAAAGAAATATACTTACAGAAAGCTGAGGGGATTCCATTGCTCTCAACTTAGCAGGTACAACCCCTAGGACCCCAGTAACGTCACGTACTGTACAATATCGCCAACTGGTGGTATGTGGCTGTATGTGAAGCAAGTTGTGCTGAACTGCCGCAGCAGAGAGAGGCTGTCTGTGAGCCTGCGGTCAGGGCAGCATGTGAGCCTGCGCAAGGGGTTACAAATCGCGAAAATACACATACAAATCCTTCTAGGCATTTGTGCATCTCACGCGGCAGAAGAGTAGCAAAAATCACGTGTGTAAAGAGAGCCAACCAAAAAACCGCTTGACTTGTAACCAATGATTTGTCTGTATTTCTGGGTCTTGAAGCGAAAATACTTCAGACACAAGTGTCTCTGTGTGTGCTTACAGATTGATCTACACATTTGCAAGTCTCAGTACACATTTGCAGATCTGAATACAGATTTGTGGATTTTTTTACACATTTGCAAATCTCAGTACACATTTGCAGATCTGAATACAGATTTCTGGATTTTTTACACATTTGCAAATCTCAGTACACATTTGCAGATCTGAATACAGATTTGTGGATTTTTTACACATTTGCAAAACGGATTACACACAAGTAGTTTTACACATTTGCAGATTGTTGTACAGGCACACAAATCTCCTCACACACTTACAGATTTATTTACACATTTTCAAATCCCACTGCACACACACAAATCGAGATACAGACACACAACTCTCCACACACATTTGCAAATATTAAAGCTACCATTTTGGCCCCATACTGCAGATTCATAGAAGCTCAGATGTGTCCTCCTTTTAGATTAGCATGAGAGTTTCTGAGAAAATAAAGATGTTTCAGAAGGTGGCAGCACTGCATTATATAAAGTTTCATTTCCCTGCTGCTCATCTGTATCTACTTACAGTGTTTTGGACAAGTATCTAAACCCCTAAGACTTTTCAAAAGTTGAATATATATATAACTAAGGTTGGAATGCCTCAGTCTTCTTATTTAATGGGATATTTTAATGCAGCATGTTTTTAAATGAAGATGTCCATTAAGTAATATTTGATGGATGATATGAACAAATAAAACTGGGCCTTTTTTATGAAGACACATTTACTCTGATACCTCTAAAATAAATTAAGCGCAAAAGTGTTTTTTCTATAAGAATTAAGTAAAATATGCACACACAAAAAAATGGATTACATGCCAAAAAATGCAAGTCATATTTGTATAATGTGGCAGCATCATCCTGAAGAGATGTTTTCTTTCAGTAGGAACAGCACAGGCTCCTAAATGTGTATATTTAGGGGCTTAAAGGAATAGTACACCCAAAACATGATTAGCCTTCATTTTCTACTCACCCCCATGCTGAACAACACTCTGGAGTACTTTTTTGATATCTCAAATGCATCTGGAGATTTGGGAGGCTTCTTGCTGTCTGCTGACATTCAAATAATGGAGGTCTATGGTGACCGAGACAGAAAGGTCCATAAAAGTCCACAAAAAACGTGTCAATATTCCTCCATACTGCTCGTCCAATGTATTCCAAGTGTCCTGAGTGGGTAGCATCCAGAATTTACTCGAAACAAAGTCATTTAGAATGTTTTTAGAGCATAAACAGTAGTGTATAGGATTTCCTGAAAGCGCGCACCTGCGCGTTCACGACGCTACGGAAGCCGGCAGACCAAACCAGATGACAGTGCGCATTCAGCGTCTGCTCTGCCAATAATGCAAGCGTAGAAGAAGAAATGTGCTGTTTACCTGTGCAAAGAAAGAAACAACGAAAGAAAAATGACTGAGGACTTCAGTGTTGAGGAAGAGCATGAGTTCTTTCCCGAGCTGAATGCGCACTTTCATCTGGTTTGGTCTGCCGCGGTTTCCGTAGCGTCGTGAACGCGCTTTTAGGAAATCCTATACACTACTGTTTATGCTCTAAAAACATTCTAAATGACTTTGTTTCGAGTAAATTATGGACGCTACCCACTCAGAACACTTGGAATACATTGGACGAGCAGTATGGAGGAATATTGAAACGTTTTTTGTGGACTTTTATGGACCTTTCTGCCTCGGGCGCTGGGCACCTCCATTATTTGAATGTCAGCAGACAGCAAGAAGCCTCCCAGATCTCCAGATGCATTTGAGATATCAAAAAAGTACTCCAGAGTGTTGTTCAGCATGGGGGTGAGTAGAAAATGAAGGCTAATCATGTTTTGGGTGTACTATTCCTTTAATTAAAGGGGGGCAGACCTGAAAGAAAGCCTGTTACAGGCAGCAAAAAACTTAAGACTGCGATTTAGGTGAACCTGTCATCAGGACAATAACTGAAACATACAGAGAATGACTGAATGATTCAATCAAAGCATTTTTTCTATGTTAGTGAAGACGAGTCAAATTTCTACACTTTCCAATAGAGAACCTCAGAATCAGTTTTAATCACAGAGTTGCCTAATACAAAAGGAAATGTAGCTTGAATGAGAACATTCAAAATAAAAAAAAGCTCTATATATATATATATATATATATATATATATATATATATATATATATATATATATATATATATATATATATATATATATATACACACACAAACACACAATATTGACAAGAAGGGAAACTTATTTAATCATTCCTTTTCTCTTTTATATTTCCTTAACATAATCTTCCCGATTCCTGCTGTAATGACTGAGTCCATACTTCTCCAAAGCCAACTGTGTAAACAATCAATATAATGTTTTTATTGTCATTACACTTTCACAAGTACAGAGCAATGAAATTAACATTCTGCATTTAACCCATTTAATGTGTGTATTTGTGTAAAATAATGTGGATATGTACATCTAAATACTAGGGTGGAGGAAGGCATGCACAAATGAACTCGAAACAAAAGAAGAACAACAGATGCTGTGGAGAACTTACTTCTTGAGTTACATCAGAGAATAATGACTATTGGGTCTTTTTCAGTGTCTGTTTTTGTGGATTATCAAATGTCCCAAGAAATTTTTTGATCCAAAGTACATGCAGTGTTGATGAGAGTAGGTAGAGAGGTGGGGAGAGTTCTCCAGAAATCCACCATCGCCAGGGGTTTGGGCTGGTTATTAGTTTTACATACCAACTACAGAACATTGTATTTGAGATGGCTGTTTTGTTTTTATGTGTCCAAACATTTATATATATATATATATATATATACATATATATATATATATATATATATATATATATATATATATATATATATATATATATATTTTGAAACTATATATGCTATATAAGTGGAAATCCTGTCATTGTTTGGCTTTCAGAACGAGGTGGTCGAGGATCTGTTGGCAGAAGACCAAGGAGAGATGCAAGTTAACACTTTTTATTTATTTCATGTAAAAAAAAAAAAAAGTTTTGCTTTATGAATCTGTGACGTCACCTTTATAATTAATGCAAATGTGATTTTGCTCTTTGTGTTTTTCCTTTTGGTAAATTAGCCAGGGGAGCCCAGGACTGGGAAGATGCCCGTTGATCAGGACTGGACCTCGGTTTATCCTTCAGCAACCCCCTTCAGGTCAAATGCTGTCCCTCTTCCTGTGAGGATGGGTTACCCCGTGAAGGGAGGCGTTTCACCGGAGAAGAAGGGCAACCTGGAGTTAGTAAAGGTCAGATTTCATGATGCCTGAAGGATCGCAGCATAAAAAAAGAAAAAAAAATCTGTGGTTCAAACCCTTTGATTTACAATAATCTCTGAAATGCAAGTTTTATTTGTTCTGATGAGCTAAGTCCATTGATGGCAGTGAGGGCTGCTGCACTGCTAGTGGAGCCCCCCCCCACCCGTGTCTCTGCACATGGATTACTGAGCTGCAGTGTCCAAACAACAGCTGCCCCATCTGGACTGGAGCCACTTGCAGATTCACTACATTCACTCGTCACAGCTGGAACTCTGCCGGGTGGCCTGACAATATTGGTTTCATTCTGCCTGAAGGAACTAAATCACATACTTGGCTAAAACGCTTGAACATCACACCTTAGAGATCAGAGAAGAACATTTGAGCAATGTTATGCCATTATCACCCACACTAATTCTGATATTAGGAAAACCTATTGTGATTTTTATAACTTATATAATGTTCTCTACTCAAAAGATCAGTAGGATTTTGTTTTTATAATTTTGTCTTCATTCCTTTTTAAACCCAGTTTATTGTGAATCATTTTGGTAAGAAAATGAAGAATAAGCTGTTAGCTCTTCACACAATTGTGCTCCCTGGCTGAATGGTGAGCACCCAGATTCACAGGTTCATGTTAATCAGTTAGAATATCATTGGTAAATTATTTCTTTTTGTAAACAAGTTGAACAACCTAAACTCTTACCTCATATAGAATAATGGCACCCAGAGTTCTGTTCGAATTATAGCTAAATTAAATTTAAAAAATTACATTTCTAGAGAATCAGAGGGCGGACTGTTGCCTTGACTGTAGTTTATCTGACGTTCACTGAAACGCTTGATAATAGGTCACTGTTTGTAATGAAGTCAGCTCTTCCCTGACTGCTTTAAGCACTTAGATGGAAAGTTTAGTGGAAGGAAAAAAGGCTCAGTTGTTTAACCCGTTTCATAGGTTTTCATTCATAATACCACAATTGTATTCCAAGGTGAGAAGATTAATCCAGTAAAAAATGTGAAATAAGGTTAGCAGGCTGCATGTGGGCATCTTTCCTAGGGTTTGGAATTGATACGATTTTCACGATTCTGATTCTCTTTTTGATTCTGTGAAACAATAAACTTGGTAAGTTCACGGTGACATTCGTCTACCTTCGCCTGGGACTTTCTATTTCTGCCTGCCTCGGCGAAAACAGGAGGCAGTGATCGGGAGCTGCCTGCCTCTGAGCCAGCCAGGCTACTCGTCTCGTCACAGTCATCTAAATCTAATGGAGAAGGCATCCGTTTAATGAAAAAGCATTACTGTACAATTTCGGGAAATAAACTCATCACCCCCCTGATTTAAATAAACGAGCTTCACCGTTCTCTCTCACCCTGAACTGCAGAGCAACTTCATAGCATGTTTAATAACCCCAAAGAGAGATAGGATTTTAGTTTTTTTTTTCAGAAATGGCATATGATTTACTAGGAACCACATTAAGCACAGCCAGTGATGTAAAACTATCTACTTGCCACCAGAGTTGCCTTCCATGCTGGTCGCAACTTTAGCTTCTGTTCATTAAAATGTGTGCCATGTTGTGTGCTCAGGTGTTTCTGCATTTCCTCCCGCGGATGTAATTGCCACTTTGCAATGATTGCAAAGTGCTTGTTGCCATCTTTCTCTTCCTTAAAATGAAGCCAAACGTTTCTAGACTTACGCCTGGTCCCGTCGTACTTGCTTACTGAATACCCTGTGTGTAACTTGCATAAAAAATGTGACATAAGTCGTGCTGCCCAACGCTAGGCTCTGGTGCTGCCTGGAATTGTTAAGAGAATCGTTAAGCGAGCTGCCAAACTGTGCCATGGAACCAGTTTTCGATTACCATCCCTAATCTTTACACCTTAGAACAATCTTCGGGAAATTCTACTGGTGGATTTTCAGCTGATGAACTTAATAGTTTTATTTCTCATAGCCACTGCAATTTAAAAAAAGAATGTATTTCATTATCAAAAAGTTGAGTATTAATTTTCCAGCTGCCTATCCATTATACAGTTCAGTATAATCATGTGAATCAATCACTAACCTGTGAAAGGTTAGACAGCAGATTAAAACATGGATTGTTTATTATATTCATTGCATTATATGGCCTCATATTATATTACCTCTGCATTTAACCCATCCCCTTAGGGAGCAGTGGGCTGCCATCGTGGGGCGCCCAGGGAGCAATCAGGGATTAAGGGTCTTTGCTCAGAGAGCCAGAGTGGCAGTCTGTGGGAGTGGGGCATGAACTCAGAACTTCAGGATTCCATCATCTGTATCCCTAACCACTAGACCAGCACTCCCCCAGATTTAAAGGATTCTGTTTGTTTATATAATCTGCTTGGATTCATTTTGTTTTATTCATTTGAAAATGTGTAAATAAATCTGTAAATGTGTGAGATTTGTGTGTCTGTACAACAATCTGCAAATGTGTAAAACTACTTGTGTGTAATCCCTTTTGCAAATGTGTAAAAAATCCACAAATCTGTATTCAGATCTGCAAATGTGTACTGAGATTTGTAAAACACTGGGATGTATTTGCAGCCGGTACAAAAATAACGTTTGCAAAACGGATTACACACAAGTAGTTTTACACATTTGCAGATTGTTGTACAGACACACAAATCTCCTCACACATTTACAGATTTATTTACACATTTTCAAATCCCACTGCACACACACAAATCGAGATACAGACACACAACTCTCCACACACATTTGCAAATATTAAAGCTACCATTTTGGCCCCATACTGGTCTCCTTACATTCACCTCCCTCAGACACTCTTTCATCATCTCCTCAATGAGGTGGTCTCAAAAGTCGCAGTTACAACACACATAGGGCGCACCGCACCAAAGGGCGCACCGCACATTTTGAGGGGAAAAAAAAAGACGTTTAAGCGCGCCTTATAGTCGTGAAAATACGGGTTTTTTTCCCCCTGATGTTACAAGGCTGTTATGATTCCATACATTTCATTTTTCTAATCTTGGCATTTTTTGTATTTGCTCAGGTTATTAAAGTCCTTATATTTATATATATATATGTATATATATGTGTGTGTGTGTATATGTGTATGTGTATGTAGGTGTGTGTGTGTGTGTATGTGTGTGTGTGTGTGTATATATATATAGATATATATATATATATCTATATATATATATATATATAGATATATATATATAGATATCTATTTATAGATATATATAGATATCTATATATATATAGATATATAGATAGATATATATATAGATATATAGATATATATATATATATATCTATATATATCTATAAATTTATATATATATATATAAATATATACAAAATAACATACGTTATTTTTGTACCGGCTGCAAATACATCCCAGTGTTTGATTTTATTATGTTTCTTTGATATTCAAAGTCAGAATTGTACATATAGATGCCACTCTATAAATAAAACGCCACTATGTGTTTGGTAAATGTCAATTTGTATGTTTCACCTCAACCACATGCTTTTCATAGCCATCAGGAAGCACTTTGAAATAGTTCTGTCTACATATGGGACTCCTTTTCTCAACAGAACCTTTAGGGTTAAACTAAATTCAAATTCCACAGATTATGAGTTTCACTTGCTCTATAAATTCATTAACCAGGTTTTATTTATATTTGGGATCATTATCCTGTTTGAAAATGCCAAATCACCCAGCAGTTGGAGGAGGGCGAAAGTATTTATTTTTCTTTTTTCTCTTCGAACAAAAATTTTTATACTGTCGTCTGATTATGTTTCAGATACCACACTTTCTGCATTTGACGCCGGCAGCCATAAAGAAACACTGTGAAGCTCTGAAGCGTAAGCACTCATTTGATTTGCTAAAACACTGAGAGGATGATATCCTTGCTTTGATTAAAAATATTTTCTTTTTTTTTTTTTTTGTCATAAAAATATGTCTAGCGTTCTGCACAGAGTGGCCCTCCGCCTTGGACACTGATGCCAAATGTGACAAGCATTTTCCCATTAAAATCCAGAGCTCAGACTACGTGTCTGCCGGCCCCTCCGTCAGGAACCCCTCAGCTCGTATTGTTCATCTCAAAGTGAGTTTCTAAAAATTGCTCAGAAAAACACAGAACTGCTGCTTCTACATGATGACGCAAAATAGAAGAGTTGAACTTTGATTGTACCTCGAGATTAAAGATTTACCCACTGACCAGTTGACACACAGTCTGAGTAAAACTCATTCACAAACTAGATGGTTTACATGTGTAAATTGACTGAGATTTGTCTTGGACATGCTCGGATTTTTCCTTTTGTTTATTTATTTTTTTCCTCCCCAACAGATCTTACTGGGGGAAAAGTCATAAAACATTTAGCCAACTAAATATTTTCTGTGACATTTTAATATTCCTCTTTAATCCTCGTACTAACACTAATCCATCAATACGCAATCTTTCTTTCAGACTAGAGCCATGTGCGTAAACACATGAAAAAAACAAACAAATCTGTTGTTAAAAAAAAAAGGATGATGAATTATTGCATTTATTGAATACTTTGGGCTGCAACTAACAATTATTCTGATAATCGATTAATCTGTTCATTTGTTGTTTTTTTTCACTTAGTGGATCAAATTTTTTTGAATCTTCTAATTCTGTTATTTAAAATTTTTCTTCAGTTGCTTAAAATTGTTTTGACCCACTTGTTGAAGTCTATGCGCTCTGAATATTCCTTTATTGCCTGTTTGTCGCCACTTTCCTTTATTTTTTACCTTTATTACTGACATTATAACATATCTGAGCATTTTTATGACTACATTTGAAATGTAGCCGACTTCATATGTTGTTAATAGTATTTACATCAATATTTATATATTTTTACAGTTAAAACCTCAAATAAACATCCATATTTATTTGAAAGAAGATCTTTCCAGCCTGAAACTTTTAACTATGCTTGATGTTTGCTGCATTTTAATATATGAGGATATCCATATACTAGCAGACAGGCTTGATTTCTTTCGTTAGGCAGTGGAAAAACATGAAGAATAACCAAGTTATTCCTTTCCATTTATACTCTATAGCTATATTCACCATTATATTGCTTGACATCAAACTCAACCATTAATCTTAATGACAAATGAAACTGATGTTTGCCTTTTCCCATCATATATTGTGACTCATATGTATTCAGCATAGACTTTCTATCAGTCTTTTTTTTAAGCTTAAGATTCAATTCAGTTTATTTATATAGAGCCAATTCACAACACATGTCGTCTCAAGACACTTTACAGTTCAACCAGATCATACAGTCAAATTGATTCAAAGTTTTCTATCGAAGGAAAACCAGTTGATTGCATCAACTCATTGACTCAAATGCAATCCCTCACACTAAGCATGCATGTAGCGACAGTGGAAAGGAAAAACTCCCTTTTAACAGGAAGAAACCTCCAGCAGAACCAGGCTCAGTGTGAGCGGCCATCTGCTGAGGCTGACTGGGGTTCAAGGAGACAGAAGCAGAGAAAAAAAAAAGCAGCTGTAAAACAGTCCAGGAAACACACAGCCAGGCAGACGAGCTCCGAGTCAGCTCCCATGTCAGAGGATGAAGAGAGCACATCCAGCCAGTCACGGTCAGAGAAACAGGACTACACTGGAAAACAGGCCGATCTCCAGCATCTTTAAACAAGGGTGTTGATGGAAGCAGCACAGCTGATATTTCTCTCCAGGATGGAATCACAGCCAAACAGGAACAGACCAGATGAAGCTACTATGAGAAAAAGCAGAGAGAGCAGAACGTTAGAGATTGAACTAACAGATTCTGCAGATTGGGAGAATAGAGATAGAATGATGAAATGGGGGTCCCTATGTCCTCCAGCAGTCTAAGACTATAGCAGCATAACTATAGAGATAGCTCAGGATAACCCGAGCCACTGTAACTATAAGCTTTATCAAAAAGGAACGTTTTAAGCCTAGCCTTAAAAGTAGACAGGGTGTCTGCCTCATGGACCATAATTGGTAATTGGTTCCACAGGAGAGGAGCCTGATAACTAACTTAGATAGGAGTAGAAAGCAGACGGGTGATGAGAATCTACACCGGCACCCTGTAGAGTCAAAGAATATGCTGTAAAAGTGGGTTAGAGAGCTGTATGGAGCTAAATCGGTCTCAATTTTCACAGATACACATATGTGATTCATACATGCACAGTACAAGCTCCACACACACACAGCACGATTCACGCAAGCATACAAGATTCACACATTCACAGCACATGATTCGCCAAAGTATTTCTGGTCCATAAACAATAATAAATTAAATTACAAAGTACCAGTGGTCTTTAAATTTCACTTCATTTGTGTGTGGATTTCTGAGACTCTCCTGACGTAGCTCGAATCACAAATGCATTTTTTATACAGGGGATGGTTTGCAACCAATCACAGAGCCATTCTATGGGACTGATGACCACTAATAGGAAATGAGTGGTTATCAGTCCACCATGTATGAATCACATATGTGTATTTGTAAAAATTGAGACCGATTTAGCTCCATAAAGCTGAATCGGTCAGTAACTAACATCCATCTTCTTCACCTGTGAAGAAAATGGTACTTTTAACAAGTGACATTTCTATCTAAGAAACAAATTTCTGAAACTTTTCAATTTTTTTTCCCCTCAACTTTTGGCCATTACTTCTCTGAGTGATTGACATGATAGAAGTCTCTGGAGAACTAACGCTATACTGCCCTCTGCTGCCGCTGTAGTGAAATGCTTGCCATTTACACTAAACTGAAACATGCTGCAATGTTTATATCTATTTGGCATATGGAAATTTTACATCAGTCTTTTTTTCCCCCACAATTGAGTCGATTAATCATTGCAGCCCCCTAACCCTCATAATATAAACCAAATAAAATTAAGGCTCATAAACAGAGCGCCTGGTCATTATTACAGATCTGAGTAAACATGCAGTTCGCTTTGTTCCAATCAAATCTAACTGGAAAATTCCACACAATATAAACTTTCAACAACATTCTCATGTCAACAGAGACAAAGCTAGTGAGGACAGCGAAGATACAGGCGCATTAGTGATTTCCCCTGTAATATCTGCTATTAATCACTGACCATCTGTTCTCCAGACACATTGCTTTAGATTATACCAGCAAGGTAGGACTTAGAAATTAATCCAGCGGGATTAGACCTCAAGATAAATTGGAGAGCAAATCTCTAAAAGTGATTTCACAAATCTAGTACAAGTGCATGATGCCAGGCTTCTATCTCTTCAGGTAAAAAATAAAAATGATAAATGTCTGAGATTTTATAGTTTTCTGCATCTACTCAGTTTAACCTGCATCTTTTTCACCATATCTGAGCACGTTTGTAAACCCACTGCATCCTGACATCGGAATAAGACGCCTTTAATCTCAATAGCTGTACCTTGAGTTAAATGCAGTCAGAAATGATCCAAATATAGTGGTCTATATTTAGTGTCTTAAATGCTTGAAATATATTTGAGATTAAAAGATATATTATGATTTTGGTGGGGATTATCTGTTTTTAGGGGATTCCCAGTAAAACATGTGAAATTAACCAATGAGTTACAGAAGCAGAGAGTTTCTATCGGCGTGAAAATATCAGATTATAGAAGATAAAATTTATATTTATTTTTTGGTTAATATGGGGACATCCCTTTCACCTTTTGGAGGACATAGTTGAAATAAATCAACTCTTGAATGTAATTATGATTCACTGAGATGCGGTTGTAGGGTGTCGTTTCTAAATTGATGAGAAGGAGCCGTTAAAAAAACAGAAAACGGTTTATAATCTGCTAATCCTCCATTATCCTGGCAAAGAGGTTTAGGGATTATTCGTAGCATTTATGGCTGCATTGAAGAACCTTTACTTCAACTCTCACTTCCTGTAGGTTAAGTTGTCCAGTTTGAACCTTGATGACCACGCACGCAAGAAAATGCTGAAGCTTGTTGGGGAGAGATACTGCAAAGACTCAGACATCCTCAGCATCAAAACAGACTGGTAAAAAACACCCTATCAAAACACAGCATGCTAAGGAAAATGAACCATACTTTAAATATTTTATGTTTTCTTTGTGTCCAGCTGCCCTCTGAGACAGCAGAACTACGAATATGCCATGTACCTGCTAACTGTTCTGTATCATGAATCCTGGGTGAGTTGAACAGATTGTTTTTGTTCATTTTGCTGTGTCAGTGTGTACCTGTACCTCCTCTCTGGTTTTAGGAAGTTTGTTTTTTTCAAAAATGTTTATGCCCTCTGAAAAACCACATAAGTGTCTGAACTTTTCTTTACTGACCTTTGTGCTCTCTTTCAACTATCATCTGCTCATCTAAAGGCCCACTGTCACTTTTAGCCTTTTCCCAATTTGGTTTAAGTTTAGATGTTTCTGAAAACTTTCTCCAAGCGGTGTTTAAAAAACAAACACATCGCCTCCTTGGTTTTACTTATGTAATATCAGGTTCGGTCTGTTTTTACTCTTCTGTTACACTTAAGTTTCTCATATGAACGGTGACCCTTTTATTTTTCATAGATGACCTTATTTAATTGACAGTATTTTTCTTAATTATTTTATCACAAAAGTGGCCTATCCGAACCCACCTGGCTTTATATGATAATATAACTGCAGTGACCAATAAATATTGGACTTAACACACTTTTTGGTTCAATTTCAGCAGCAAAACGCAGACTCAAGAATCAAGACTCAATCAATCACCTAAACAGTACATGCCTGGTATTTAATTAAATACTAAAACATCTTAAAGCGGGGTTTAAAAATCAATAAAAATCCTTACATTATTTCTTAAATTATGGCCTTAATTAGCATCAACATTCATTAAATGTGATTTATAGTGGTGTTCAGAAAAAAAGAAAAAAAAGTTTATAAAAACAATTTCTTCATTCTGTCCATGGTAAATATGATGAAGTATTTTGTCATATATATATATATATATATATATATATATATATATATAGAGAGTCATGGGTACTTGTCTAAGAGTATTAAAAGAGCATTTAAAGCATTAAATTAGAGTTATTCATTCCTGTATCAACCCTGTAAAATAACAACCAATGCCACAGTGTAAAGAAAACTGAACAAAAGATTAAGATTAGGGATGAAACATTTAATCGATTATGGAAATATTCGATTAATCGTTGACTGGATTGAAATGTTTTTAGCTGACAGAGAAACTCACCTTGAACAGCGATTATAGCTAAATTTAAAAAATATGTTAACCTTTTGCATGTAAGATTAAAATCTTCATATGTCAATATGCTCTATTCAGCACAAAGTTTTATTTTCACTTTTGCAAAAAGTCTTCTTTAAGGAATCTTTTGCTATCCGATTATTAATCGATTTAAAAAAAATAATCCACAGATGTTCGATTAGCAAAACAGTTGTTAGTTGCAGCCCTAATTAAGATTAAAAGCTTCTTTTTAAGGCAGCAAACCACAATGAGAGCTATTATACATAGAGAAAGAAAAGTTGGATGGAGGAAAGAGTCAATGATTCGTACAGAAGGGCATCAAACAAATCATCAAACGTCTAAAGTGCTGTGATCAGTGTGAAGGATTCACTATGAATTAAAAAATTTGCTTTTAGATCACAAACTTACCTGTTGTTGTTTTTGTCCATTGATGCCATGCAGATCACTATAGATTAGCCTGTGGATCATAGTAGAAAACATAGCAGTGTGTCTGAATGGAGAGTTGGCCCAAAATCTTTCAGTGACATTAAAGAGTAAATGAGTTAAAGCAAATGCTCAGTGTTTTTAGCTTCGGGGGGACATGTCATTGGTGCTTTCCCAAGTTTTATTGGATTGCTTTTTCAACACTGATGTTATTTTCTGCTGTTATCTTTGCTTATAAGAACTTTGTTTAATCAGAAACAAAAAAGTACAAAAAAAAAAACAGCAGTCTAACTGGAAAACAATATTTTTTGAATAATTGTTAATTTTTTAGTAGTTGTGGGTCAAACGTAGCCACATTTTACATATTTTATATTCTAGACCCATTGGTCTCTTCAGAATTACAGTTGTCTCCAGTAGGATCATCTTTAGGATGACTCGGCATATTTCTCCTGGGGAAATCTTGTCCACCTTTCTCTGTGAACTAAACCCATTAAGGAGACATTGGAGCTAAACCGTCAGAAGGAAGGCAAACAGAAGCATTGTCTAGTTGACATTTCCTCACTGATGAGTTAAAAAACAGACTCTCCATATCAGGTGTTGACCTTAATTCTCTCTGAGCGAACCACACCGCATCAGATCAGTCTGCCACCGGGTCATTAGCCTCAGCACTGTCCCCACTCATTCGGAGTCTGGCATATAAAAGAAAACGACTCCCTTTGTTGGTCAGACCTCCGCTTTCAGGAGCTCCTTCCTGTCATGGCTTGGACACATGAAGGGAAAAAGGTGTTCGAGTCAGGAAGCAGAACACTGTCCGCTGCCCTTTTGGACACACAATGGAAGGCACAGTGCTTGTCCAGCGGGCTTTTGGAAGAGTTTAGAGTAGAGTAGTGATCAGGTTGTAACGCTAGCCTACAAAGGAGCCAATTGTTAGCAGCCACTGAGGTGATAACATCACCCCATTTGGAGTGGGAGACCGCGCCTGCTAATTCCAGCGTTTGTTAATCCCAATCAGCTCTGGAGCTGACTGCTAGAAACCTTTTAGTGGCCTAAGGGGAGACCTGCCCCCCCCACCCCCATGCCCAACAGCTGTCTACCCAAACGGCTTTGTTTGAAGGTACACAATCAGGAGTACAGGTGGCCTTTTGTCTGCAAACACATCACAAAGTAGGCTGCATGCTTACCGAACAGGCTGTTCAATGATGGATGATTTAACCTTCGTAGTTAATACTTCTTTTAATATCTGAAATCCAGAAAAATTAAATATTTCCACTATTTTTTTTTTTTAAATAACTGAAAGAATAGGTGTTAAACTCCTCTCTTTGGAATTCTAAGAAGGCTACTGATCCATGAGATGTCTGGAGCTTCTCAATTGGTGCCTGATTCTGTTCCAGAGAGGACTTGATGACGGTCAGATATGTATTGCAGTAAATGATGGTCATTAACAACCAAACACCTGGATGGAAGCACCGCTGCTGCTGGATAACGGCTCTCATTGTTCTCCAAGGAATCTGATGACAGCTCCACAGGGCAAGAGGAATACTTTGCTAGCGTGTCATTAAAGACGAGACTTTAAATATGTAGCTTTTGTTTCCAAAGGAGAACTGCATGATGCAGTTTAGAGTGATATCAGTTAAGACTCTGATCTTTGCAGTATTTGTATGCCCTGAAATTAATTTTGTCACATTGGATCTGGTTACTTTATTGGGATATGCCAGATAGATCAACACAAAGAAAATGCATACAGGGTTTTTCTCATTTTCAGAAAAGTGGTGTGGATTTGTTTTCAGTCTCTCACTCTGAAACCAGATCTCAGAATAAATGGAAATGTTTGCTTTCCTTCACCAAAAAAAAGTCAAATGAAAGGTTTTGGCCAACATTTGAAGTGGTGCAAATCACCCTGAACACACCATCCCAACATGCAGCACGGCAGTGGCAACATTATAATATGGGAAGCTAGCTGGTACACAGGGAGATGATGAGGTCTGTTAGAGGGAAATTCTGGAAGCCAATCTGTAGGTGGCTGCAGAAGACCTGAGACTGGTCTAGTAGGACAACAGGCAGCCAGAGTGAAAAGAAATGGTTTAGACCTTAATATATTGATGCCTTCAGAACGGCCAAATCAAAGTCCAAACCCAAGACTCTGTGGTTTACATTCACAGAAGCATCCAATCTGACTCAGGTTATTTGGTAAAGAATATTTTAAAACGCTAGCAGCAGGTATTTCAGGCAAACACAAAAGCACACCACACTTTTCAGATTTTATTTGTCACAATTTAGTTATTTTTGTTCCAGACATCACATTGTGTTTGGTCCTTGGTATATTAAATTCCTGCAAAATACTTAAAAGGCTGCGATGGGATGAATTGTGAAAAGGCTTGGGGCAATATAATAAATGTAGCCAGACGCTACATGTTAAAAACTACAGGTGGTGTATTAAACGTGGGGCTGAAACTACCCATTATTTTTGTAAATCGATTAATCTGTCGAATATTTTTTTGATTAATCGGATGGCCAAAGGTTCCTTAAAGATTTTTTACGAACTTAAACCCTGTGAAACAAAAGCTTTTACACTTGAGGAGTTCTTGATAGGGCATATTGACAGAAAAAAAAACATTTTTCATCCTAAATGCAAAATGTTTTACATATTTTTTTTTTACAATTTTTATATAATTACTGCTCTTATTGGGTCACTCTGTGAGCTAAAGGCATATTTTAGTCTCTATACTCCAGTTAACGATTAATCGATTACTAAAATAATTAATGCTTATTTCGATAATTGATTAAACCGAGTAGCTGTTTCAGCCCTAATTAAATGATAACTATTTAATTGCACATTTTTTATGTTTAGGTATTAAAAAGGATTGCTTGGATGCAGTAATCATTGTTATACTTAAAGTGGCATGGATTCATGCTCAATGATATATTTGGTGGTTTTTATGAACGCTACCTGCCCTCAAAGGCCACATCTGATGTCATTTGTCTTTAATGGCAGAGATATTTAATCAATTAAGTAAAAGGCATCCTAATTTCATATTGTAAAGCTTTAGTTCTGTGTTTTTTATGTTCAGAAAATTGAGGCCTGGGAGGCGGAGAAGACTGCTGCAGACATGGAGGAGTACAGCTGGGAGGACAGCCCGTCCCAAAAGAACATCCTGGACACGCTGCTGCGCATGAAAGTGGCTGGAGAGGGAGAGGAGGCTGAAGTTAGAGAGCAGCTATTGGCTAGAGGGGAGGTGCAGGAGTATAAGGACTCAGTTGTGAGGCTAAAGAACGAAGGAGCAAACGAGAACAGCATGTTGCAGTACAAGGAGGCGGTCAAGAAGGTACTCAACGTGTGAAACCATCACAGAGGAAAATAAACTGATTGATCGGAAGATGGTGACCAAGAACAAGAAAACAACATCTTAACTCAAATAACTCAGCCTGCATTGTTTCTGTACTATGATAACCTCGAATATCTGTGGTATTTATTTTCCAAAATAAATTTGTTTGTAATATCCAGTACATCTTTTTTTTTTTTACTAAAATAAAACTATAATACGAGAAACTGTTTGAGTTTTCTCTTCGAACTTTAAAAGCTCCATTCAAATAACTTTATGGTAGGTTTCAGTTTCCATCCCACCCATCAGGTTTCTGCAAGTTTCCCTCCTGGTTGGAAAAAATATTTCTCCATCAGCTGCAGTGGGTGTTGCTATAAGATAAAGTAAAGACAACTGGTGATGTTATTTCCTTTAATTGTGGCATCATGTTTGAATCTCAGAAATTCATTTTCATGAAGTCTACATGCAAAAATATGTTACGTTGAACCATGTTGTTAGATGTTTTTGTTGAAAAGTGCTTCAACAGGTTTACTAACTACAGTGGTCGGTTCGTGTATTTTAGGGTTTAGCAAAATAAAGGAGGAACACCCAATCCAATGAGTAGCAGATTTATAATATGGAATATTACAGCTGTGTGAATTTTCCTTATATCCAACATGTATAAGGAGCTAAATGTAGCTGTTTAATAACAGGTTCTGTTCATTAAAGCTCTAAGCCATAGAGGTATTACCCAGAAAGTCTGATTTCTTGTACAGTATACTCCTTTTTTAACTAGCTGACCAGCAGTGCACAGCAACTCTCGGTGTCTCTTCCTCCAGCTTCTCATCAAAAATGTTCAGTGGAAAAGTTTTAGTCTGATATGCTTTGGTTTTCCAGTAACTGGCCCATTGTCATGGAGCCGAGGTTTTTTCAGGAATTCTCCTTAACCAGCACATACTTAATCAGACGCATGGAGGCTGGTTTTCCTCTCCAGGATGTGCGATAGCGGCCCGTCCTCCTTCTCTGGCCCCTCCAGCTCACAACCAGCAGAACAGAGCAACAGCAGCTCCCCAGGAGGGTGACGCAGATGGCCACAGCAACCAGCAGAGTGTGGGCAGCCATGTGCCATCCAGGCCCCTGCTCCCCTTTGGTGTCCTCCTCACCGCCATCCTGATCTTCAGTGTGGTTCCATCCAGTGGGTCCTACTGTGCTGCTGTTCTCTGTCCCACTCTTTGAAGCTGAGGCTGTTGTAGAGCTGCTGCCCAGCATATGCATTGTGGTGGTTGGATGATGGGTAGGGATAGGTGTGAAGGGTTTTGTAGTTGTACCTGAAGTTGTCTCCAGGTTGACGGTAGTCGTGTTGGTAACTGAATCTGATGTGACGCCTGGTTCGGTAGATGTGGCAGCAGCTGGCAGGATTTCTGTTTGGATGGGCGTTTCTGAGGATGAGGGGTTTCGCTCGGTGCAGCAGAAGGTGGTTTTAGTCGGAGAATCAGTTGTAAGTTGAGGAATGCTCTGCTGGGTTGTGTTGGTGTCTGCCTCCGTCCCTGGAATGGAAGGTTCTTCAGGGGAGGAAGAGGTGGGAGGCTTAGCAGGATGAGGAGGCGGATGGATGAACTGCCGCTTGTCTGAGGGCAGCGGATCAGAGGCGTTCACCCTACTGTAGTGGTGGGGGAGCACGCGGACGTTGGATGTGAAGTGTTTCCCAAACACCAACAGGTCAGGATCCACACCTGGAACATGAGGATAAGTATTTTATCCTCTGGATCACCCTTGGAATCCTCTCTTTTTTTATTTGGCTACTTTCAACTTTAACATAAAACAATATGCACATTGTAAAATATACATCAATGTATCTCAGAATGTATGGTAAAGACATATTCATATACCATAAACTTTATCGTTCCATTAAAACAAGAAGAGCATTGAGTTTCAACAACACTATGCAATTGGTTCCCCATAAACAATAGATCAGGTAAAGGCGGCATTAATCAGAGACAGCCAATATGTGACTCTGTAGGAGCTATAGATCCGCAGTTTAGGTGAGAGAATATGTTGAAATGACGACTACTAAAGGTTTGGAAACACCAGTATAGACTAAAGTTTCCCACAAGTCATTGAAGCTACGCAATTGTGGGGAAACAACCAAAAAACCCTTTGTGCGATGGAAAACCAACATTTTGCATCCCGCTCTAGACATCACCCACAGTGAGGCACAGCAGATAGCATGTTAGCAGCACCATGCTCTGAAGATGCTTTTCTTCAGCGGGGACAGTGAAACTGGTCAGAGTTTATGGGGAAACAAATTAATCTTTTTCAAGGCAAATCCACAAAGAAACCAGCAGGACAGTGAACCTAAATATGCAATGGAACAGTGTCAAAGCAAATATATTTATGGTCCTCACTTATAGCTATGGAAAGCTGTTCTTTTATATCATTTTTAAAAGGCAGATTCACATTGGCTCAAAAGCTTACAATGGTTTAGTGAAGTTTATTCTTCATCTATTACTGCAACTTATCAAGGAATATATGCATTATTTAAAAATGGATAGATAGGCCTTCATGAATAAAATTGTACAAGTAGGAGGTAGAAACCTTGGCCGGCACAGTGCTCCTTTCATATTGAACAAGAGCTATTAGTAAAAGGCAAAAGATGTCTCTAGTTGGTAGCATACAAACTTTTACCTGAAGTGTCTGCATGGGCGGTTCTAGACAGGGGCCAACGGGGACCAGTGCCCCTGTAAATCATGTCCTGGCCCCTGTACTGAAGAAATAATACTTAAAATAAATTCTAATGATGATATGTGCTGGAACAGACATGGTTACTGATAGGTGCTTTGGATCTATTTAATTTTTTTTCTTTATAAATTATGTTTTACTAATTATTTAAAAACAATACGGTGATAGCTTCAGTGGTATTGAGATAGTTTCCCAGTTTTCATCTGCTAAATGTTTTTTTTTTTATTAAATATAAAAAAAATACTCACATTTTTAAAGCTGAATTTATCAGTTTTTCTTGAGTTCTAATCCAGATTTGATAGAAAATGGTAATTTTAACTTAAATTGAGTGAAAAAATTCTAATTTATGAATGTACAGGTGCTGGTCATAAAATTAGAATATCATGAAAAAGTAGATTGATTTCAGTAATTCCATTTAAAAAGTGAAACTTGTATATTATATTCATACATTACATACAAACTCATATATTTCAGATGTTTATTTTGTTTAATTTTGATGATTACAAATGACAACAAATGAAAATCTCAAATTCATCATATCAGAAAATTAGAATATTACTGAAGACCAATAAAAACAAAGGATTTATAGAAATGTTGGCCAACTGAAAAGTATGAACATGAAAAGTATGAGCATGTACAGCACTCAGTATTTAGTTGGGCCTCCTTTGGCCTGTATTACTGCAGCAATGCGGCGTGACATGGAGTCGATCAGTCTGTGGCACTGCTCAGGTGTTATGATAGCCCAGGTTGCTCTAATAGTGGCTTTTAGCTCTTCTGAATTGTTGGGTCTGGTGTATTGCATCTTCTTCTTCACAATACCCCATAGATTTTCTATGGGGTTAAGGTCAGGAGAGTTTGCTGGCCAATTAAGAACAGGGATACCATGGTCCTTCAACCAGGTACTGGTAGCTTTGGCACTGTGTGCAGGTGCCAAGTCCTGTTGGAAAATGAAATCTGCATCTCCAAAAAGTTGGTCAGCTGCAGGAAGCATGAAGTGCTCTAAAACTTCCTGGTATGTGGCTGCGTTGACCCTGGACCTCAGAAAACACAATGGACCAACACCAGCAGATGACATGGCACCCCAAACCATCACTGACTGTGGAAACTTTACACTGGACTTCAAGCAACGTGGATGAAGTGCCTCTCTTCTTTTCCTCCAGACTCTGGGACCTCGATTTCCAAAGGAAATGCAAAATTTACTTTCATCAGAGAACATGACTTTGGACCACTCACCAGCAGTCCAGTCCTGTTTCTCTTTAGCCCAGGCAAGACGCTTCTGACGCTGTCTGTGGTTCAAGAGTGGCTTGACACAAGGAATGCGACAGCAGAAACCCATGTCTTTCATACGTCTGTGTGTGGTGGTTCTTGAAGCACTCACTCCAGCTGCAGTCCACTCTTTGTGAATCTCCCCCACATTTTTGAATGGGTTTTGTTTCACAATCCTCTCCAGGGTGCGGTTATCTCTCTTGCTTGTACACTTTTTTCGACCACATCTTTTCCTTCCCTTCGCCTCTCTATTAATGTGCTTGGACACTGAGCTCTGTGAACAGCCAGCCTCTTTAGCGATGACCTTTTGTGTCTTGCCCTCCTTGTGCAAGGTGTCGATGGTCGTCTTTTGGACAACTGTCAAGTCAGCAGTCTTCCCCATGATTGTGTAGCCTATAGAACTAGACTGAAAGACCATTTAAAGGCTTTTGCAGGTGGTTTGAGTTAATTAGCTGATTAGAGTGTGGCACCAGGGGCCATCAATTTTGAACCTTTTCACAATATTCTAATTTTCTGATATGATGAATTTGAGATTTTCATTTGTTGTCATTTGTAATCATCAAAATTAAACAAAATAAACATCTGAAATATATGAGTTTGTATGTAATGTATGAATATAATATACAAGTTTCACTTTTTAAATGGAATTACTGAAATCAATCTACTTTTTCATGATATTCTAATTTTATGACCAGCACCTGTATATTGACCTCATAAGAAATATAATTTTTATTAAACCTAATTGAATATAAATTTCACTTCTTACAGCTCTCTTAATATATTTTAATTCCTTGCCCTATTTTTTATTTCATGCTTTTCTGTGCCACCATGAAAACAGACTGGCTCCCTGGTACTTTTGGTCTAGAACCGCCACTGAGTGTCTGGTTCTAATTTGACAAATTGGGGGGGCGGGGGGGGGGGGGGGGGATGGCCTATTTAAATTTATTTTGATTTCCATCAGATGAACCTTGGCTTACCCTTTGTGATGTTATAGAGGACAACATTGTCCCTGTGCCTCAGTATGCAGCTCTCCAGGGTTGGACAGTGCAGGTGGACACAGTTCACATTCTCATTGCTGGCATCAAAGTAAAATATGGCCAGGTTACAGGAAACTTTAGAAAGAAAGTGAAATCAGAATCAGGAGAAATGAGCATAGATTAATTTATCTGCAGAGCAAAAACTTTAAAGTCATACTTACAGTTTCTGGTGAGGCAGCAGCTGCGGCTGCATTTCAGCGCCGTTTCTTCAGGGTAGGACCTCAGCAGCTGCGCTCCTCTCCTCTGAGACTCCTCCATGTCGATCAGGATCCCCGGGAAGCGCCGGATCCAGCAGTTCTTGTAGTAGGAGGTCGGGGAGCAGATGGATTCAGTGTGGCACACCAGGATCAGAACAGTCAGCAGGGCGCATGTGGCGTTCATCGCGTCCGGTTTGGGTTAAACCATGTTTATATCACAGCTCGCACATATCCAGCAGGATGAGGGCGTAACACAGGAGGCATTCTGCTTCTAGAGGAGGAGGAGACCAAGGCTGGACCCTAAGGAGTTTTCCTCTTAAAAGCACAGATAATTATTCTAGGTCGGGCTTGATTCATTTGCAATTTTAATTATGTGCAATAACACAAGCAACTACGCACATATGCTGACTCTGAATTTCAATATCTTAATAATTAACTTTGTTCAAATATATTCGAAGTCGGAGAATGGGGCGCACCCAGTGGAGGTTCTAGAACAAATGTATGAGGGGGCCAGGAGGGGGCCAGTGTGTTTTCATGGGGATAGAAAAGCATGAAATAAAAAATAGGGCAAGGAATTAAAATATAATAAGAGAGCTGCAAGAAGTGAAATTTATATTCAATTAGGTTTAATAAAAATTCTATTTCTATTTCATAAATTATATCGTTAAAATTACAATTTTCTATAAAATCTGAATTAGAACTCAAGAAAAACTGATCAATTCAGCTCTAAAATTTAGAGTATTTTTTGTTTGTTTTTTGAAAAAAAAAAAAAAACATTTAGCAGATGAAAACTGGGATCATATCTCAATACCACTGAAGCTATCACCTTATCGTTTTTAAATCATTAGTAAAACATAATTTGTAAAGAAAAAAAGGAAATAGATCCAAAGGACCTATCAGTAACCATGTAGTTTCCAGCACATATCATCATTAGAATTTCTTTTAAGTATTATGTCTTCAGTACAGGCGCTAGGACATGATTTACAGGGGCACTGGTCCCTGTTGGCCCCTGTCTAGAACCGCCCATGGGCGCACCCATGGTTTCAAAGTTAGGTGTTTGGGCTGCTGCTTGAGGTAGGATTCAGTTCCAGGATGGGTTTTAACTGCAGATCATAAGCAAGGATGTTAATGAGGGAAAATGCGATTCTTCCAGCTGTTGCTCTGCATCACGGTCCCCTCTATGTGAAAATAAAAATTATCTTTAGCAAACCACACAAAAACTGCAAACTCTGTCTTTCTATGACATCTCTGAATCCATGATTCCGATCCACAGAATCCAAACCACATTCACTCAGCCGCTCTACGCTGGCATTTGCTTTTATGTCCGTGACTGGGCTTATGCCGAGTTCTGTAATCCCAGAGAAGCAGAATAAATCAGATTAAAAACAATGTCGAATGTATTCTGTGGTCTAACTCTATCCTTAACATAAAGTGACTTACTGTATGAAATGTTTATTTTTTTAAAAGATGCATTGTGATAAATCAGAATTTAATTAAAAGTTGTCTATTTTTTGATAAATCCAATAGGTTGATAAATCTAATCTAATGAGTTGATGAGATCCAAAGGCAATAAAAGCTGCTTAAACAAACGTGATGTTACTTTACATGACTTTACGAGCAAACTGGTGTGACCCAAACCTCATCAGACGCTCCATGGGACCTGATCTACATCCCTTTAACAATCTATGGAGGAAGACGAGAGACACCAGCATAGACAGCGAACATAACCCAAAAGTCACCATAAAATAATCTGGGATTTACATCAAAACAGAACCACAGAAGGATCGCCTTCATGCCATTCTGATGGATGCATGAAGAAGTGCTGACATACTGTCCAAAGAGCACGTCATTTATGTCCTGGTGAGGCTGCAGGGTTGCCATTTTAAACCTCAGTTGTTACTCTGGGTACCATCGCAAGACCCAGACCTCACGATACTGAGTGACACTGCAAGTTGCTCTTTAATGAATGGATAAAAGGCAGACGACTAGTTTAGGTGCAACATGGAACGAAAATAATGATCATTATTGTGATGCAGTAATTCCATAGTCATTTGCAATGACTATGACCTGGGTGACTACAAATCTTCACCAGCACAATACATATAAAATTGGCTTATTTTATGACTTTGGTGTAATAAATATTATTCCAATACCATAAATATGCATTTTCTAAAATATCCTTGTGTGAATAATTTGCAAAGCCACCTTATTCCCAAAGAGCTTTGCCCAAATTCTACATATTTAATAGCTCCAGTTTATTCAGGCTTAATAAAGAGTTTTTGACTTGGGGAGTCAAATAGCCTTCATCATATACTACTTTAACCTAGTTGCTTTTTATCGTTGCTCTGTCTGTATGATTAAGGTTGTATTCTCCGAAATAAGGTATCTTTGTACACTGCAAAAAACTGAAATCTAAATAAGTAATTTGTCTTAAAATAAGTGCCTTTTTTGTTTAATTGAACAGGTAAGTGAGGCTCTTTTCCAATGGAACAAGACAATTTACATTTAAAATAAGACAGAATAATTGTTTTATCTTATCTCAAGTACACATTTTCTAATTATTTTAAGAGTAAAAATACTAATTCCATTGGCAAATCATCTTATTTATCTACAGAGATGGGAAGTAACGAAGTACAAATACTTCGTTACTGTACTCAAGTAGATTTTTCAGATATTATTACTTTACTTTACTACTTATTTTTATGGCGACTTTTTACTTCTACTCCTTACATTTTTACACAAATATCTGTACTTTCTGCTCCTTACATTTTAAAAAAAATGGCTCGTTACTTTAGTTTTGAATCATTTCAATGGAGTTACCGTTATTATTTTTCACATTATCAATACCAAATTCAATCTAATTGGATGGGAATCTACTTTGCATTTGACGCACCACAAGATGAATCGACAGATTCGGCGGTATTCATTCGCGGCAAATCATTGCAGCTTGGTGGCGGTGGCGTTAGCATTGTAGTATGGACGACGAGATGATTGAAAATGAACACAACGGAGATCTAGTCCTATTGGCAGACATCCATTTAAAATGTAGGCAACGGCATGAAAAAAGTGGTTTCTACTTTTACTTTTATACTTTAAGTAAATTTACAAGCCTGTACTTTGTTACTTTTACTTGAGTAAAGAAGTTCAATCAGTACTTCCACTTTTTACTCAAGTACGGAAAGTGAGTACTTTTGCCATCTCTGTTTATCTAGTCAATTTAAAGTTAAATACACTTGATTTAAGACATTTTTACTTATTTCTAGATCATTTTTGCAGTGTAGGGTTTTATATTTCTGTCCAGGATACCTGTGTTTAACTCTATTATCTTCTCATCAACTCCAAACCTGCTACCTTAATCACTCAGCATGATGCTACCAACATGTAAATGTATTCAAGGTAATGTCCAGTGCTATTTTTTTTTATTGTTTTGCCACACAATTGCTTTGAATGTAGGCTAGAAAATAATATGTTTGGTCTAATCTAACTAGAGCACCTTCCACCCCATGCTTACGATATCCTCTACAAACCATAAGCAGGTCATATGATGTCGTTCTTCTTACCAATCCTGGAGCTTTTATGCTATTTAAGGCTCCATGAGGTGTTCAAAACTCCCCGAGCCGTCTGCTGTCTTTCTTGGTTCTCTTGATGTTGTTTGTAACACACCTTTAAAGATCACCTTTACAATTGGAGTGACTGCTGAAGTTCAACTGGAGTATCAGAATGATGTCATAAAATCCCAAATATTCTAGATTACAGTTGTAATGAGACAACAGTTTTATAAAAAGTACATGAAGCATTTCAACCACATGTACTTAGTAAATTGTAGGTTTATGGAGATAAATCGTTTAATAACATATGCCTTTGGATGCATACCACACTTAACAAAAAACCAGCAACATGAGTTCTGTGTGAAACACGTGTTTTTTTCCTATCAGACACAGGCCAGCTACCAAATGCAGACAATTTCAGCATACAGTTCCCATCTGGTTCAGGTCAGCAGTCTTACTATGTTCCTTCAGTAGGAGTCAGACCATTGTCAGTCAAAGACAAGAACACAATACGAGACACATTCAACGTCAACGCCAAACAAAGAGAATACAACAGGTTTCTGCCATTAGGTTCAGCTGCTCATCCTAACTTTGTAAAGAGACGAATGTGCTTCTGTACATGATCACCGAAATGCTGAGTTTAAACGAAACATTTTGGCACCATCACTTATGATCTGTGGATGTGCAAAAGAGGAATATCTTATCTTCTCTTCCAACTGTAATATTTATTCAAGTCACTAGATGGCAACCTGAGGCCGTCCAACTCAACACCCACCCCCCTGCACATGCACATCTACATTTAAAACAAGCTCTAGTTAAACATGAAGGCAGTCGACGACTCTCTCATGCAGCTTCTGTTGGTTGTTGGTTTAGAGACCAACAAGTGCAGGATGGTCCTTCATCACACTTGTTCACAGTCTTTCAGCTTCCACGGTTCATCTTCTTCAGCAGTAGTGGTCTTGCTTACGCTGACGCAGCCAGTAGTGTTTCTCAGAGTTCGCAGCCGACTCACCAGACTGTGTCTTTAAGCTCTGTGGTGTCTCTAGTCTTTTTGTTTGGGTATCCCCTTGCTTTACTCTTGCTACAACAGGTCTAGGAGCCGGTAAGTTCCAACAGTGCGACTGTGTCAGTCTTTGACTAGCCTGTAAATATGATGTTGTGCGCCATGCTCACTGGTAGACACTTCAAAGACATAAGCTATGCACAGCAGGGTCTCCAGTGTGTCCCTGTTTGTCACCACCTGGAACAGACACACAAGTTCAAAAATGTATGGCTTTATCTTAGATGGTTGTGCATTTAACAATTAAATTAATAATTTTATAATAATTAAGTAATAAGGAAAAAATTAATGTAAAAAAATGGTATTAAAGGTTACAGATTTCTTTAAAAAAAATATATATTCTGGACATTGGAGTGCAAAACCTAAGATCATACAACTTAGATTAACTGCACATAGGCCAATACACAGTTTGTGGTTTATTAGGTGTGTATGTTATATAAAATAAAAAGAATTGGGGCTTCAGTGCTTTGTTTTTGTTTAGTAATTTAACCAGACAATTTTAAGAATCTTAAGTTTAGTTTAAAAAGCTGATCCAACAGGTTCTACAGCACAAATTGAATTTTTTTTTTTACCTTTAAGGTGTTGAAATAAGAAAAAAAAACAGCCAGTAAAAGGTCATTAGTCTAAATAACAATTTTTTTCCCCAGTCACTGAATGCATCATGTGTTTAACAATACTCTTCGGTGTGGAGCTGCAACTAAGGGAAGAATATATATATTTTTTTTAATCAGTGAGGTTTTTAGAAAAAAATAGGCTAATAAAAGAAGCTGTTCTCGATTACATGTTCAGACATGTCCTCTGTGCATTCCAGCTGCAAGAAATGATGATTTTCCTGGGTTATAACAGGAAGGCTGACAGGGCTCTGATTTATTCTTTTAAGCCACCTGTCTCTATTATAAAACCTGAACGATTTAGAAATGTTGGAACCCTTTTGGACATATCAGGTTAAGCTTTTGTCTAAACATCACTAATCACCAAAATTAGATGGTAAAGAAATTTTATAATAGAAATGGCCTCTTCGTATGTAGTGCTGACTAAAGCGCTTTGCACTACATTCAGTCATTCACTCACACACTGATGGTGGCAAGCGACATTATAGCCACAGCTGCACTGAGGCTCACTGACAAAGCTTAGGCCGCCTACACTGGCGCCATCGGGCCCTCTGAACACCATCAGTAGGCAACGTCTAGCCTACCAAGATTTTGCTTGCTTGTATCACAATAGTTCTTCCAGAAACTAACAATTCAAAAGCAAACCTCTAATTCGGTTTTATAATTTTTCCCAACATCTAAACTTTTAAAAGCTGCACAGAAACCCTATTGTTTAATGAAAAATTTTCATTAATATAAAAAATTGTAAGAGGAGTGTGACAATGCCATGGCAATCCCGCAAGCACAACACAACAGCACAGCTTTCCCAACTCATTGATTTCTGTTGACTTGCAATAAATGCAACACAAGTCACAAGAGGCCCTATCCATTGTGGTGCAACAGAACATGTCCATGTATCTGCTGTCTGTATGTGATTATGAGCTGTTGGTTAATCTGAACTAAATCAGCCCATTGAGACATATAATGACATGCTGCCACGAGGTCGTCAGCGTGGGTTCAATATGGTTATTGTCTCCAGGCTCGTTTTGCAGGAATGAAGCCGTCAACAGAAGGAACACAAAATTCTTTGAACATTGTTGCTGATAATGACTCTTGTCGTTGTTGAACGCGCCACTCAGTTCACTTTCTCTCAGTGTCTGCTGTCTGAGGAGCACAGTGGCTTATTCAAGAGGATCCAGCTCACTTCAGCGTTGATGTGGAAGACAGGATCTAATAATAATAATAATAATAATAATAATAATAATAATACATTTTATTTGTATTGCACTTTACATTTAAAAAAAATCTCAAAGTGCTACAAAATTCATAGTTAAAACAAAACCGTATAATAAAAACGGTATACATAGTTAAAATGAGACATTACAGTAAAATAACATACGTAGTAAAAACAAAACAGTAAAATAACCATAAAACCACACAGATAAAATACTAACTAATGTTCATAGGCTTTTTTAAATAAAAATGTCTTGAGGCCTTTCTTGAAGGCCTCCACACTCTGTGGGACCCTAAGGGACTCTGGGAGGCCATTCCAGAGTTGTGGGGCAACTGCCTGGAAGGCCCTATCTCCCATTGTGCAGAGCTTGACTCTTGGCTGGTGCAGTCGGTGGGTGGAGGTGGTGGAGCGGAGGGTTCTGGAGGCGGTGTGAGGTGTGAGGAGTTCCTTGAGGTAAGCCGGGGCAGTTCCATGTATGCACTGGTGAGTGAGGAGGCAAAGTTTGTAATCTATTCTGTGTTGGATGGGCAGCCAATGAAGGGACCTGAGGACTGGAGTGATGTGTTCGTGTTTGCGCCTCCTCGTCAGGACCCGGGCAGCACAGTTCTGGATGTGCTGCAGCTTTTGTAGACTTTTGCCAGGGACCCCGACGAGGAGGGCATTACAGTAGTCCAATCTGGAGGAGACAAAGGCATGGATTAGCTTTTCTGCGTCGGGTTGGGAAAGGGAGGGGCGGAGTTTGGCGATGTTTCTGAGGTGGAGGAAAGAGACCTTGCAGAGGTGACGTATGTGGGAGTCAAACGTGAGATGTGGATCCAATTTGACACCAAGGTTTGTGACAGATGAGGACAGAGGGATGTTTTGACCGAAGATAGGGATACTGTTTAGGGAGAAGGACTTGGTTTGGTGTGGGGTGCCAATGAGAATGGCTTCTGTTTTGCTGCTGTTGAGCTGTAGAAAGTTTTCAGCCATCCATGTCTTTATCTCCTCCAGGCAGCAGTGAAAAGCAGATGGCAGAACTGTGGGAGAAGTGGAGTCCATTTTTATGTACAACTGGGTGTCATCTGCATAACAATGAAAAGATACCTTGTGTTTTTTGATTATCTGACCGAGTGGGAGCATGTAGATGGTGAAAAGGGTCGTCCCAAGGACCGACCCTTGAGGCACTCCGCAGCTGACTGTATGGGGTGATGAATTGGACTGTCCTATGGCAACAAATTCGGACCTTCCCGTGATATATGACTGGAACCAGTTGAGTATGGTTTCAGAGAGTCCAACTGTGGTCTGAAGACGATGGAGTAGGATGGTGTGGTCAACGGTATCAAAGGCAGATGATAAGTCCAGTAAGAGGAGGAGTGATGGTGAACCCTGGTCCGCAGTCATGAGTAGGTCATTCATGACGCGGACCAGGGCTGTCTCTGTGCTGTGTGCTGATCGGAAACCAGACTGAAATTTTTCATATAGTTTATGGGTGTGAAGATGACTGTGGAGTTGAGAAAAAACAGACTGATCTAGACTGATCTTTCACAGATTGTTGGTAGTCTCACTTAAGTGGGAATAATAAATATGCTGCAGAATGTAGGGGGAAAAAAGTTGGGTGTGGACAGTTTATAACATTTTGGAATTTCTCCTCTAACCATCTCTGTTTTTTCAATTTCTGAAGGAGTATGTTTACAAAAAGGTAAATCCAAACCTGAGAGTTCCAATCCATTTATTTTAAAGGGGCACCTTCACCTTATATCACATTCATTACAAACTCTATATACACCAGTAGCTCAATTCGGTTTCACACAGAGTTTTTCTTAAAAACGTCTGTGTTCTGCTGGCGTTTTATTTATTAGATTTGTAATTTACATCTGGTTATTGCTCAGATTGTTGGAAAACAAAGCCCTTCTTGTATAGTTACAATAACAACTGTGCTTGACTGGAGATATGATACAAAGCGTGTGCGCAGCAGGTACAGCAAGAGGTTAAGCCTGTTAGCACTTTACAGAACAGTTGGGAAAAGGAATAAAGAGAGATCTAAGATCCAGGGTTAAAAAACATAAAATAATATTTGATTCTAAGAGACATAAAACTTAAATATTGCTCAAAATAAACCATAAATACATAGCTTGTTATAAAAAAGAGGGGGGGGGGGTCTTTTATTAACTGATAAACTCTAGAAGACTACTCAAGATCAGACAAACCTAACAGGGAAATAGCATTTTTGTGCCTATTCATTTTTTATTTCATTTATTTAAAATATTACTTGCCTTAATACTGTGTCATTGTTTGAGTTTAGTAGGTAGGGGGATTTTCTTTTTCCTTGATTTTCTCGTAGGAGACAATAAGGAGGAGTCACTACAATCAATTTCTAGTGGGGAGTGGCAGACTAGTGGTTAGGGCACAGAGCTCTGAATCCTGAGTTTTTGAGTTCGATCCCCACTCCCACAGACCTAATAAGGGTCTCTGAGTTAGAACCTTAACCCCACACTGCTCCCTGGGTGCCCCACAATGGTAGCCTACTGCTTCCCAAGGGAATGGCTTAAATGCAGAGATAAATTTCTGCAATGTGAGATCAATAAAGTTCAATCATATTATAACTTAGAGATCCTGTAGTTCATTAATCTGTTTATTTAATTAATATTTGTTGGTCTTCACCCACGTTGAGATGTTTTTTTAGCAGTATAGCCGGACTCTATTACATACTTGCTGTTTATGTCTACTCACCAGGCCAGCTGCTGGAATTCTATTTAGGCTTAAAAAAAAGGACTATCAAAACACTATAAGGAACAACACTCATTATTATAGGCTTATTTAATCATAATCATCATCACATGTATTTGGTCTATTTTTTGTATGGGCATATAACATGACTATGTCCCTTTAAAAGATAGATGTCAAGTAACAAAAACACTTCAGAGAACTAAAAATATTGTTTTAGCAGAGAGGCTAATGACATATCGGGATGTGTGAAAAAGTCGAATTTTGAAATGGAACATCTATTTTTTTTTATGCTTGATGAGAAGTCAACATTTTGTATAGAACCTACAGTAGCCCTGGCTTTTTATTTCTAAAACACTTTCTCTATAACGTGTCTTTCTTCTCTAAAGAACCTTTGAGGCCTCCACAAAACATGTTGGATTTACACTTGGTTTAAATCATACACATTTGACCCTTATTCACTAAATAGGTGACATCTAAATTCAGTTAAGTTAACTCAATTTATTTAGAGCTATTGCAGTATTTTTACTGTGACATTCCTAAATATAAAGGAGGAATAGAGGGGGTGAATGAAAAGGCAGCGGACGCTTCTTGTTATCTGGTGTGCGGGTGTGAGCACTTTAAAAAAAAGATTTTGTAGTTCAAAAACAATCTTACAATGACCACACAAAAACAGCAAGATAATTAATTAATAGAAGGTAATAAGTAATAATCTTTTGTCAACAACATGGAGAATAAGCCTATACAATTAGCACTAGCTACTGGGATAAATCACATATTCTAGTATGTACCTGTAGGATAGTGAAGTTTTCCAGTACGCTGTTCATCATGTATTTCTCTGGAAGGTGTTTGAGTTTATGGATGAAATTGATCATGTATTCACATAGCGGGGATCGGTGGATCCGAAACACGTATCGTCCATTCTCAAAGCGCGCGTACTCCGTCTGAGAAAACAAACACGCAAACTTAAAATTTGGTCCCATAAATTAAAGAGAATCTAATAATCTGAAACAAGAATTAAAAACTAGGAAATGGTTAAAAATATTCCACCTATAAAAAAAACAAATATATATGTTTCACTGACACAAAAAGGGTTACAGTGGATCTATGGGATAAGCTGTAATGTGAATAATGCAATAAATCTAATGCAGCATATGGCATGCCAGATGTGACATTTAACACATTTCTCGTGACAACTGTAATCAAATAATGAAACCATTAAATGCAATCATGTGGCCTGCTGAGGCAGATGGCTCAACCAAGGGATATGATGTATCTGTGTGTGTTTGTGTTAATATTGTACAATCCATCAGTACGGCGTAGGGGCTGAGGGGACTCTATATGGTTAACTGGAAATATAAGACTTAGTTAGATTGAGGAGATTTTATGATTCGGTTTCCTGACCACAGATCAGACGTAACTGACTGGGATCCATCTAAACCGGCAGCAGCTATTCAATAAGTGAAAGAACCGTGGGATATGGTGTGGTCATGTTGAAACGAATAAAGATGTTGCTGTATTTTCCACTGTCGTACCTCGACTTTCTCCACCACCTGTTTGCCAAAAGAGCAGACCTTGGTAGAAGAGGTGATAATCATGTTCTCTGAGCTCTCGTACTGGCTGGACACACCGTAGAAGAAGGTGCTGTCGTCTTGTAGGTTTACACTGAGGTCCGCCTTGAGAAACAAAAACACAGTAGTATGATTTGACAAAAATGATTTACAGTCTACTATGCAACAAATTTAACACATTCACAACTCAACTTTGGTTCCCGTAGCCCTTATTAAAATCGTATAATGAGTAGTGTTGCGCCGATGCCATTTTATGGCCCCGATACCGGATACCTGGCTGTGCAGTATCGGCCGATACCATAACGATACCATTTATTTGAAATTGAGGTGTGTGTGTGTCAGACATGGGCAATGTGGAGTCAGCAAGTCATCTCCATGTCATGTATTTAATCTACCCAGCCAATCAACCAGGTGAGTCCAATCTGCACAGGTTAATTCACGGTGAAGATTGGACTCACCTGCTTCAGTGGCTGGGTAGAACAAATACATGACATGGAGATGACTTGTTGACTCCACATTGCCCATGTCTGGTGTGTATATATGAAGAACTACATTCTACTTGGATGTAAAATAATTGCCATTTGTCAAGCTACTGCCTACCTTTGTGAAGAAGGAAAAAGACTAATACCAAGTGAATCCAGTAGAACTTTTATTGCCTAACTGGAATGGGTGACAATAGCCGATACCAATACCACCATTTTAGTGCTGGATCGGGGCCCTGCCCGATACTGGTATTGGTGCAACACTCATAATGAGTAATAATGGAAAAATGAAAACTATGTGCTTTCCAGAGAAATTGGCTAAGATTTTAAATTAAAATATATTATTCTGATTAAAGAATGTTGAAAAAAAATATTTCTATCTTGCATAGTAGTAGCATAGTATTAGCAGTTGAATTTGGGTCAAGACTTTGACTGGGCCACACATGTATTAAAATGGCCCAGTCAAACTCTTGACCCAAATCCAACCGATAATCCAAGCTTTTATCTAAGTTCAAAGGCTAAACTCTTCTTTAGCAACTAACAAGTTTTCTTCAAAGATTTCATAAAAAAAATCTTCAATATGGACACATTTCAAAACAACAGGAGAGTACAATGGATACGAATTATTTTATAAAGCATTATAGATTTCTGGATAGAATAGATCCTACTTTTTTATTTTATGCAGAATGTTTACTTTCAAGCAAATAAAACCCAAATGTTAGAATATTAAAAATGATTTTATGATGATTTCTGTTTTTTGTTTATTTCTTTTTTTATTATTTCTTTTTTTTTTTTATATCAGAACAGCTGCAATGGCTGCTGAAATTGGACATGTTTTCAGCTCAGAAGGTATAGGCAGGCATAATGTTGTAGGTGAAGAAACACTGTTACAACAGATGTGTGAGGGTTAACAATGGTGAGTAGTGAAAAGCTAGGTTGTATTAATAAGCCTCAAAAACAGCAACAAAAGCGGCTTTTCTGATGTAAGTATCAATTTAGTAGGAATGCTGTATGTTGTGCGCCTGGATGAAGTTAAATCCTAAGACTCTGTATTTATTCAAATGCTTAAGCATTACATTGAGTTGCTGTTAGTTTTCAAAAATGTAATTTCCCTGTCAGAATCACTAGTTTTTGAAAATGTTTTAAAAGATAGATCATGCATAATGTGTGCTTTGGTTTAACCAATAAAACGTTTAGAAATGCTACTTGTTTCTAGAAAACGGGGGCCAGTGCCCCTGAAAACTGGCCATCAGCCATGTAATGGCCCCTCTATTGAAGACATAATACCAAATCAGTTTTATATGATGACATGCGTTGCCATAGAAACTTTAACTGATTAGTCCACTGGATAAATGTAGTTTTTGTTTGCATGTTTCCTTTAACAATGTCTTGAAAATAAATTTGTTGCACCAGATGATAGGATCACAACCTTCTACTGCCAGATCAGAGTCTCCAGTTTCACATGGGTTTTTTGGCTGTTATATATTGGAGTGTAAACTATTGCCCTGCTTTTTATTTTATTATTTTGCTCCGTGCCCTCATGATTTAACACTGGTCCCAACAAGGCCCCTGTGGTAAAATTGGGCTACGTTCACACTGAAGACCTTAATACTCAATTCCAATTTTTTTGTGAAATCAGATTTTTTGGCGTTGCCGGTCACATTTCCAAATATGTGAGACTTGTATGTGTTCTCCTGTGTGAACTGCATACAACGCAAGTGTCCTGTATGCGCAGTAGAGGACCCAATGACATCACAGGCCAGCTTGCTCTGTGTTTACGGAAGTAAACATGGATGGTAGTGCCGGACCACATCTAGCGATCTGTCCGTTCAGACACAGGTCGCATTTGAAAAGATCCGATTCGTATCGGATTCAGGACCACATAGCTAAGTGGCCTGTGTCACATTGGAAAAAATCGGATCTGTGTTGTTCAGATAGCCATGAAAAGATCAGATACAGGTCGCATATGGGCCAAAAAATCAGATTAGGGTCACTTCAGGCTGCGGTGTAAACGTGGCCTTTGTCTTGAATTTCCTGTGAAGGGTGGCCCTTTATGGGAAATCATACCTGTACAGACTTAAAAAAAAATAGATTACAAATATAAACAATCTGTCTGCCTTTATATTGAATGTATAAAAAAACAGAACATTATTTTAATTTCATATATTTGCGTCTTGAACAAAATGTACCCTGAAGCTGAAGTCAAAGGAAGAAGACAGTTTGGTTTCCTGATATTTAGGTCCAGGCAGCTTTTATCCTCCCAGTGGTTCAGCTTTGAAATGAGGCAGCTATAATCAGATTACAGATCAGACTGAGGTGCCATCTCCTCTGTCAGACAGCTGGGCTGTTTTACCTTTTCAACCTGTCGGGCTCTTGTCCTCTAATGGGCCATTGAGACACCGCTCAGCCTCCCCTCATCTCTTCATCACCCCGTTTGTCTTCATCCCTAGCTCTTGTAATTTCTCTATTTGTCTTCATCCCTAGGGCCGCGCGGCCCTCCCCAAACTGCCGTCCTCTGCTTCCCTAACAGCCAGCGAGGGAATTCATCCAATTATAATCATCAGCGTGCAATTGGCTGATTAGATCATGGTGGGCTGGCTGGCTGTGTAACAATTTAGCTGAGCCGGTTCAAATCAGATTCCCCCCGCACTTCAAAGGCGTGAGACAATCCGTTAGGACAGGGCCACAGGCGCTGGAGGGGAGAGGAGCTGGGCAGCCACTGGACGACAGGAGGGTTTGCAGGAAATTCAATATAGAATACCATAGCTTTGGAGGTGGGTCAGTCGCCTGTCACTGTCCCCATGCCAACCTGCACCTCAGCGCATCCCCCACAGTCATGACCTGCCTCCTGGCAGCAGTATAATGAAAAAGGTGTTCACATCTTTTCTAATGTTTTTTTTTTTCTTTTTTTATCATCACATTTTTTGGGGTGTCAGGGATTAGAGTGAGACAAGTATTTCTGCTGTTTTATTCCCCTACAGCTGTTAGTTGTATTTGTGTGTTTTTGTCATGGATGCCTTGAGGACGGGATGACCACTTTGGGATACGATAAGCCGAACACACTGAAGACACAAAGTGTTACGAGCTTGTTTTCCTCTCTCGCCGCGCAGCAGATGTCACAACCATTGATAGCACCAGGCTCTGACGTGAACCAAGAGAGTAATATTTCACAGTCGGATGTCTTGTTGGTTAGACGCCACCCTGAATTTCTGCTGCCATCCCTAACTCTTGTTCACGCTGTCTGCGTCCCTATTTGTGTTGATTCTTTATTGCTGTCTTGCTCTACTTTTCTTAGTGATATACGACATGGTTAGTCATCCCCTTCCTCCCTTAACCCCCGAATCAAATGCCATGGATCGACCAGCTGCTCTTCCCAAGGAATGGAGAAGGCCGATCCAAACACAGTGGCACTCACCAATGTCTTTCATCTCTTTACAATAAATTATGTGGATGTCAAGCATACAAGAAGGGTAAAGCCACAAATACCCTCCTATCTGGCGGAACGAGAAGCAAGGCGGCACTTTGATCCTGACTCTTTCAGTGTCCTGTGTCCCAACATTAGCAGCTACATTTTCGGCTAACAATGAGCCTCTAACCTAGAACATAATGGCCTCAAAATACAATTCATAAGTTGATGTTTCTACCAATAATGGGTCAATACTTCCCATGATCTCTTGAAAAGAATCAAGTTTTTTCAAGAGATCAGCTAGGGATTATAATTATTGCAATAATATTATAATAATACATATAAGCATATATAATATATATAAATACTATAACAATATTTTGTCTCTGTTCCTTAGAGAGTAAGAATCATAACCGCTTTCATGATCAAGTGTTTTAAGAAAATAATTAGAGAAAGGGTAAAGATGCTACTTAATATAAGCTATATTTTATATGACATTTCATGACATGCTAATAACAGAAAGGCTTTCATCTTTTCTTTTTAACCATTTTCAACTGTCATGAAATCCACTATGTATAAAGAATACATAGCGACTACTGTTTGAGTAATGAGCTCTACATGTGCTAACAGCACTGATTGCTAATGCAAGATGCTAGAGACAGTTAAATATGCCATCTCCTACATACAATTGGAACTTCAACATATCCGTTTTAAAATGATCGGAACCATTTTATAGAGGCTACATCTCAGCCTACAACATGACTCTACTGCTAACAACTTATGTATTGCAGCTCTTTTTTTCTAAAGACACTTGAAAACAGCCCAAACTACCTGCAACCTGAAGATTTACAAAAAGCAGAGATAAAAAATTGACCCCAAATTCTGAGCAGTGAATCTCTAGATTTCTCCCATATATGATTCCCTTCTGCAAAAACCAAATCTTCCTCCACAATGCTGTGTTGGATTTTGACCGTTTCGTGGCCCGCAGAGGCTGATGTGTTCACTGAGCACCACAGAGAGACACTGATCACTGAATCTGCCTTAGAAAGCAACATCGTGCCTTTGGCTAGTTTTTTCTACAGAGAGAATGATAAGCATGTTGACTCATCTATGATAGTGCCTCAAGTCTTTCCCTTATCTACAGGTGCTGGTCATAAAATTAGAATATCATCAAAAAGTAGATTGATTTCAGTAATTCCATTTAAAAAGTGAAACTTGTATATTACATTCATACATTACATACAAACTCATATATTTCAGATGTTTATTTTGTTTAATTTTGATGATTACAAATGACAACAAATGAAAATCTCAAATTCATCATATCAGAAAATTAGAATATTGTGAAAAGGTTCAAAATTGATGGCCCCTGGTGCCACACTCTAATCAGCTAATTAACTCAAACCACCTGCAAAAGCCTTTAAATGGTCTTTCAGTCTAGTTCTATAGGCTACACAATCATGGGGAAGACTGCTGACTTGACAGTTGTCCAAAAGACGACCATCGACACCTTGCACAAGGAGGGCAAGACACAAAAGGTCATCGCTAAAGAGGCTGGCTGTTCACAGAGCTCAGTGTCCAAGCACATTAATAGAGAGGCGAAGGGAAGGAAAAGATGTGGTCGAAAAAAGTGTACAAGCAAGAGAGATAACCGCACCCTGGAGAGGATTGTGAAACAAAACCCATTCAAAAATGTGGGGGAGATTCACAAAGAGTGGACTGCAGCTGGAGTGAGTGCTTCAAGAACCACCACACACAGACGTATGAAAGACATGGGTTTCTGCTGTCGCATTCCTTGTGTCAAGCCACTCTTGAACCACAGACAGCGTCAGAAGCGTCTTGCCTGGGCTAAAGAGAAACAGGACTGGACTGCTGGTGAGTGGTCCAAAGTCATGTTCTCTGATGAAAGTAAATTTTGCATTTCCTTTGGAAATCAAGGTCCCAGAGTCTGGAGGAAAAGAAGAGAGGCACTTCATCCACGTTGCTTGAAGTCCAGTGTAAAGTTTCCACAGTCAGTGATGGTTTGGGGTGCCATGTCATCTGCTGGTGTTGGTCCATTGTGTTTTCTGAGGGCCAGGGTCAACGCAGCCACATACCAGGAAGTTTTAGAGCACTTCATGCTTCCTGCAGCTGACCAACTTTTTGGAGATGCAGATTTCATTTTCCAACAGGACTTGGCACCTGCACACAGTGCCAAAGCTACCAGTACCTGGTTGAAGGACCATGGTATCCCTGTTCTTAATTGGCCAGCAAACTCTCCTGACCTTAACCCCATAGAAAATCTATGGGGTATTGTGAAGAAGAAGATGCAATACACCAGACCCAACAATTCAGAAGAGCTAAAAGCCACTATTAGAGCAACCTGGGCTATCATAACACCTGAGCAGTGCCACAGACTGATCGACTCCATGCCACGCCGCATTGCTGCAGTAATACAGGCCAAAGGAGGCCCAACTAAATACTGAGTGCTGTACATGCTCATACTTTTCATGTTCATACTTTTCAGTTGGCCAACATTTCTATAAATCCTTTGTTTTTATTGGTCTTCAGTAATATTCTAATTTTCTGATATGATGAATTTGAGATTTTCATTTGTTGTCATTTGTAATCATCAAAATTAAACAAAATAAACATCTGAAATATATGAGTTTGTATGTAATGTATGAATATAATATACAAGTTTCACTTTCTAAATGGAATTACTGAAATCAATCTACTTTTTCATGATATTCTAATTTTATGACCAGCACCTGTATGACACTGCTCACATGCTGCACATCTTTTGTGCTTGGGAAACGTTTACACTTCAAGGACGCCCGGCAATGCTCTGACCTAAACAAATCTCTGAGTAAACCTGAATTAATCCTCAGGCTGTCCTTGCATATTCTACAAAGAAAATCTGTTAACAAATCTGAACAATAGGTTTCAGTTTTGAATTCTAACCTGATTCATAACAAACCTAGAAGGTTGATGCTCACATAACATAGGCAAATTAAACACAGAGTTTGTATTTAACATGGTTAACCTCTCAAAACCCACCGGATTGCCGACGACCCATTTTAGGCGAGGCAAGGCAAATTTATTTGTATAGCACAATTCAGTACAAAGACAAGTGCAAAGTGCTTTACATGATTAAAATAGAGGAAAATAAAACAGAATCAAAGCAAGTGGGAAAAACAATAAATAATAAAAAATGCAGAAACAAGAAAGAACATTAAAAACAGTTGGACTAAAGAAAATAAAAAAGTTGAACTAATGATTTTTCAGTTGAACTTTTTAGCTAGAACAGTCGAAGGCAATCCTAAACAAATGTGTTTTTAGTCTATAGTTTTAAAGTGTTTACATATCATAACTCAGAATGCATGAAAATTACACTGGTAAAATGTTTTTCCCAATATAGACATGTTAGACATGTGTTGGAAAGCTAAGATTCTCCATAATTCAACCACCTAGTTCATTTTATGGACATAGCGAGCACCAAAGTACAATTAGCACAGATATAGCACCATGTCAAAATGTACAAAATGACAAAGTAGCCACAACAAGCAAGCATGTCCTTATAACTGCTGTTCTAAAAAAGACCTATTATTTTTTAGAATAAAAAAACAACTTTTGAGTCTTGTTTGAACTCATGCAGCTTGGGTGTTTTACTCACCCAATTTTCATGTATATATTCAGAAACTAGAAGGTGTTAGCTTTCAAATAATGTATCACACATGATTTTTTATTTTATTTTTGTATCTCTGCTTCTGTCTCCTTGAACCCCAGTCGGCCTCAGCAGATGGCCGCTCACACTGAGCCTGTTTCTGCTGGAGGTTTCTTCCTGTTAAATGAGAGATTTTCCTCTCCACTGTCGCTACAAGCATGCTTAGTGTGAGGGATTGTATTTGAGTCAATGAGTCAATGCAATCAACTGGTTTTCCTTAGATAGAAAACTTTGAATCAATTTGACTGGATGATCTGGTGAACTTTAAAGGAGAAGTTCGGTTTTTTACACTTTAAGCCCGTTTTCTGTAGTGTCCAGGATGAAATCGAATGATCGACACCAAAAGTTTGACAATTGCTCCTGTCTCTGCTTTTTGGCTCATTTAGAATCACCCCCTGGCTGCTTTAGAATGGCTAGCATAGAGCATGTCCGATAATGACAACCTTAAACGTTCTTTTTTTAAAATATGCTACTCACCGTGTCGTCAGCGCTGTTCAATGACGTTCCAAAAAAAGTTTCGTGAAGAAAAAACGTTCCTGTAGTGTTTTATTTAGCATTTTGTAAATCCCATTGAGTTCTGTAGGAATAGTCAATATTCCGCTGCCACCGGAAACGGAAATGGGGCCTGTTTACACAGTTGTAGTCTTTTCGCTTCACTCTGTGTACTCCGACGTCGAGAATCAAGAATCCACCTTTCGTATTCCATTTTCAGAGTTTTTTAAAGTGTTTAACAGAGACGTTAGCACCTCGACGTCGGAGTACACAGAGTGAAGCGAAAAGACTACAACTGTGTAAACAGGCCCCATTTCCGTTTCCGGTGGCAGGGGAATATTGACTATTCCTACAGAACTCAATGGGATTTACAAAATGCTAAATAAAACACTACAGGAACGTTTTTTCTTTACGAAACTTTTTTTGGAACGTCATTGAACAGCGCTGACGACCCGGTGAGTAGCATATTTTAAAAAAAGAACGTTTAAGGTTGTTTTAAGGACATTATCGGACATGCTCTATGCTAGCCATTCTAAAGCAACCAGGGGGTGATTCTAAATGAGCCAAAAAGCAGAGACAGGAGCAATTGTCAAACTTTTGGTGTCGATCATTCGATTTCATCCTGGACACTACAGAAAATGGGCTTAAAGTGTAAAAAACCGAACTTCTCCTTTAAAGTGCCTTGAGATGACTTGTGTTGTGAATTGGTGCTATATAAATAAACTGAATTGAAATTGAATTGAATTGAACTAAGTTATTTGCTTTTCCATTTGGGTATGCAAAATAGGCGAGACTTTCCCAAAATTAGGTGGCTATTAAGAGGTTAAAGGATAAATTCTGTGTTCAATTTGGGAAAATTAAACTGGGACATAAATACTGAATCAATAGGTGGAAGAGTGATGCTGTGTGCCTGTTTTTTATTTTAATGCCCTTTAGATTTTGGTCGAGTCCTTACATGGTGAACTTTTTGAAGTACAATTTGGTATAAAATAGCCCAAAATTAGATTTGTTGCCATTAAGTAAAATGTAGAATAATTTTCTTATTTGTATTTGCTTTTTTTAAATACAATTATTAACATTCTTTATGGAGATAAAAACTGAATCAGATGAGATGTTACAATCTTCTATGTTCATCTTCCCTTCTACGTGCATCTCAGTGTATCCTTTAAATTGTCATCATGCTTTACTCTCTTAACACTTTCAAAGTGTGTCTGGCTGTGATTTAAGAGTGTTGCACGGACATCTGTGCATGAATGTGTGTAAGGGGGGCATCTATAAATAAGGATTGCGGGGGGGATGGGTCACGAGCATTGGACTCAGTCTTATAGTGCAAAGACAGGTGTCTGGGATCACATTTCTCCTGCTGAAAGATCAGCCCTGCCACTCTCCCCAAGGCTGCTGTCTGTCACAAATATGAAAGAAACACTCACACAGACACACATCACAGACATATACAGTAATGGCAGAACCCCTCTGGACAGTAATGCACACACTGATGTCAGATAAACTGCTGATAAAGAAATAGGAGCGGTCATTTTCCATCCTTTCTGGCCTAAAGTCCAGCTTAGGAGCCTTTAACTCCAATGCTTAAGCTGTATCAACACAGTTAACACTCCAAGGCCATTAACAACCAACAGGTGCTACAAAACATTAACAAGAGTATGCTCACTTTACCCCCATGACTCAGGGAGGATTAGATGATGATGTAGGAAATTGTCAGTTCTGGTGGATAAAACAACTGAGGACGCATCAAACATAAAATACAACAATTTTATCTGAATATTAATAAGGAGGTAAAATAAAAATCAAAAAGTCTTACCCAGAATTTGACAAGAAAGAAAGCGTTGTGTGGCCCTTTGTCAAACAGCTCTTTCAGGCCTCCTTTCTTCTCTGGGAACTTGTCATAGATCTGCCGGACGTCCACAGACTCTAGATAAGCGTCACTATAGCTGGGGTTGGACTGTCCGATGTGCACAAACAGATGTTTGTTGAACTGGGGAGAAAAGAGAGACATCAGAGGACAAAACCACAGAAGTGGTGAGTTTCCAGTTATATAAACAGCAGTTGCTTTCTTACCTATTTATTTCTGTTCAGGGAGTAAAATATCTGTATCTACCGCTACAATAAAACCTGTCTATCCTTCATGTTTTTGTTTTTTTAAACAGCTGAGATATTCTCATTAAAATCGCAAATGAATAAAGGTAGCTGAGCTTACTGTCTCAGAGTCCTGAGGTTGCTCTAGAAAAGCAGAAAACTCCAGCATCCTCAGCTTGGAGCTGGCAATACTTCTCCCTTGCCAAGGGGGGGCGCCGGGAGACATGGACAGCCCTGCTGTGCTTTCATAACCTGCAAAAACAGAGTTTGCAAATGTGCTGCTAAAGTAAAATAAAGGTAAAACTTATTGAGACATAAAAACGACATAAAAGGTATTTCTCTGAGCTTTGCGTGAACTGTTTGTGGTGAGCAGAGTGAACACATCTCTCCGATGACATGACGGCATCTTTCAACACAACAGAGGAGAGGAAGAGCACCCACCTGTTATCGGGGTCGGGCCTGACGTTTGCATGGCATAACTCTGTTGGGAGAAGGGCTTAATGCTGGGAAACAGAGACAGACAGGAGAGGGAGAGGCATGTTATGCTCGATCTCTGCCCCACGACCCCATCACATGCACTAATTGGACTGTGTAACCTCGAGGGATGCTGGGAGAAGCCTGGTATGCTGATCCAGACAGCCGAGGACTTTTCTTTCTATCTCTGCTGACATGTTTTGTTTGGCTCAGAAATTCTTTTCCTGGCTGAAATCTATCTAATGACCATAAAGTTAGCAGAAGGATGGACACTTACTCCTCATGGCCTCCTGTCTGGGCTGGAAGTGTCCCATGCCAGAACTAGAAAAAAAGGAAGGAGACCAATATTATTGATATGAATCTACATCAAAAGGCGTTATTCTTCTTAATATGTTTTTTAATGTGAAATTGGGAACTGGGGTGGTTTTTAGTTTAAGTACAGTGGCATTGGATGCAGGAGTTTGCCATCCATCCAGAGGGTTTTGGGTTGAAGCCCTGGCTCTGGCTTTCATTGTCTTTGTGTCCTTGAGCAAGACACTTCAGCTGCACTGCCTTCTGATGGTAGTCAGATGGCTCGACGGTGCCGGAGTATGTCAGTAAGCCCCAGGGTGGCTACAATGTAGCTTGCTACCATGAGTGAATGACTGAATCTAGTCTAAAGTCTATATAAGTAAGACACTATTTACCTATTTCTTCATATATTTTCAAAAGAAACATCATGACTTTTGATCATTTATTATGACACAGAGAATAATAATGCGTGTTGATTGGGGAAATAAAAAAAAAAACCTGTCCTTTTTTTTATTTGTATTTCTTAGGATTTTGAGCCATGTACTCCTACTTCATGTCTGTCTATAAGCTTCTTTGCATTTCTCCATTGAAATGTATAATTCCATATAAAATAAACTGTGGTTTGTAGTTGTAATATTACAAAAAATGTATGAAGGATTCACTTTCATTTAGTTTAAGATACTTTATTTATCACAAAAGGACATAAAATGTTATTGTGAGACGAGCCCAAAATAGAAACACCATAGACCCCTTGTTGGTAACCTGGCAACCCCTAAAATATTTATTTCACTCTACATTTAGGCATCATGTGAGGTAACAATACGTATTTTTAAATATTATAAATATTGAAATTTGAAACATTCAATTTCACGATCAAAATAAGGTATTTCATTAAATAACGGGACATGATGTTATATTTTTAATTATTAGGTAATGAATTATAAAGAAATAGTACATAACTAAGTATTTAATAGGAAATTTAAAGACACATTTCTCTATTCGTTTAAAAAAAATGACTTATTTATTTGATATATAACTTCGTTTAGCTCAGGGATCTTATAATAATTATTCTAAAAATCATCTTGTAGCTACCCCCTCCCCCCTCCGTTGGTATGGTTGACCCCCACTTTGAAAACCCCTGATCTAGTTGAATCTGTGTTTTCATGAAATGTAGGATAATTGACTTCAAATTTAACAAACCAAAACAATTAATTTAATAATCATCTGAGAACAAAAAAACATGTTTTAATTTATGTATGATCAAACCTAAAGAAATCTTTTCCATTTCCTGTTAATAAAAAGCCAAAACATTCCTGTGTGATTAATTGAAATGACTCACTCCACCAGCAGCGGGGTAAGCTGGTCTCGTAAGACCCTGAAGAGCCATCTTATTCTGGAAGGCTGTGGGTGAGATGATCTGAGCCGAGGACATGGTGGCCATACTTTGAAGGGCCTTGTCTTTGGCAGCCTGATCCTAGACAGATGGACAGACAGTGCAGTGTAAGATAAACTGCCTAAATAACACCACTTACTGTATTAGCTTTGGTTTGAGTAAACAACACCCTTCTTTTATCTAACATAATCACAGCCCTAAAAGGGGAAATGAGAGGCTGAGGGCTCTTGCATCATCTGTGAATCCCTGCCAGGCGAAGAGCTGGAGAGAAGGTAATATTACCATCACGGACCTTTAGGTCAAGAGTTAAGTTTATTGCTTTGGCAGGGGCAAGCTAGTGATGACAACTAGCTTCTGTTAGAGGTCACAATAGAGGTCAAGGAAAGGATCAGGATGGCACATTGATAAAGTTTTTAAATTAGCATTAACAGCATACACATATCCTTAAAAATAAGCAAAATATGGGTCAACTAGAGAACAATTGCCATTGGTATAGTTCCTGTTTTAAAAATCTCCTCCTTCAGCTATTTCCAAACTACAGAGAGCTACCAACACTTGCCACCCAACCCAACTGGGCAAGGCCACACAGTGCATTCTTCTTCCCAGAACTAGAGAACACAAGGGCATAGCTGAAATATGGGGGTTACATGTGGCAGGGTTCTCAGTTACACTAAAGGCGTTTTTAAAAAGGCCGGCCACAGAGGCCAACCCTGTGACCAGTGTAGAGCCCTGCCAGCTAAACCCTGGTGGCTGCTGTCCAAGGTGAAGGAGAGGTGCTTTGGCTGCTGTGACTGAGAGCATGTAAGCAAATGCGGACGAGTAATGCAAACTGAGAAAGCACTGAATAGACAGGGATGTGTGAGCTCCCAGCAAACTTTTATTACCTAGTAAAAAGAGCTGGAGGCAAAGAGCTGATCTGAAAACTGTTTAAGGTCCATAATGATCAGTAACCCCTCGACCTTTTTACCGATACTGATATTTCCTCCACTCTGTCTTGGAATCTCTTTTCAATTAAAACAGCTGAACTTTAAAATAGATATGAATACCTGGCAAAGACATTAGTGCTCAAATTAACTACATTTAACAAAAAAAATGAATCTTATGCATTTGATAGACACAGAATCCATCTAAGGCAGATTTGTAATAAAATTTTTATTCACTTTAGGCTCAATACTCCAGATAAATGAAGAGAAACATCTAAAAAAAAAAAACAAGTAGAAGTTGACTCACGTAGCGTACCTTGAGCTTCACCTGGATCTCTCTGGCCTTCCGTCGGGCCAGAACTTGGATGTGACTAGACACCTGGAAGACAGAGAAAACAACAACAGGACAACTTTTACCTATGCAATTGAAAACACGGAAAAGGGTAATGACTTTAATCAATCAATATAATAGATGTATAGAGAAATATGATGGTGATCAAACTGGGGTGGTTTTTAGTTTGACCCACGCATAGTTGGTCATTTTCTAATCTGTGAACAGACTTTTACAAAACAAAACCACAAAATGATTTGGTGTGGAAGTTGTCACTCTGAACAGAACACTAAAAAGTGCAGCGTTTTAATCAAGGGTCTGAGAGGTTAGCTTCTTTTTTGAACGCATCCTTTAATCATTCTGCATTCTACAACAAAGAGCTTGACTTTGATCAGTCATTTCCTTCCCTTGCCTTATTGTTATTTGCATGTTCATTCCTTTGTTGCAAGACCTTTCTGGCATCGTACCCTCCTTTCAAAGAACTGCCAAAGGAACAATTTGACCCACAGCTGGTTAACACATAGAACAGGCCATCTCCATTTTCTGAAGCAAATTCACTTTGTTTCATCCTCTTGAGCTAATGTATTATCAACTTGTGTTTCTTGTGGAATTTGTAAAGTTTAGAAATGCTGGCAGCTTTTCTAAATATCTCAGGCTCATCTCATTTAGGCTTAGTTCACACAGCAGATCTTGATGTGCAATTCCAATATTTATACTTTATTTCTGAAATCCAATATTTTTGGCTTGGTGTTTTATACTACTAATTAAATGCTAAGTGCAGAAGAAGAATGTAGACATCACACAGCAGCGCAGTGTGAATGAAAGGAGCTGACAGTGTCTTGGCCCCACATTTATCAAAGAAGGAAGGTAAGAAAAATACTGTGCATAAATATTAACAATTTCCATTTGCAAAGCAATCAATGACTGCTGATTTGTAGTGGTTACCCTGAAAATTATGTTAAAGTCAGAGAAAATGCTTTTAATACTAGTTTGAAAACTATGAAATCTGAATCAGATTTTATATCACATTTGGAAGTGGCTCAAGTTATTTTTTAGGGAGTGAAAAGACTAAAATTTGGGCTGCTTTGAAAAAGCTTTTAAAAAGTCTGATATGAGTCACATATGGACTAAAACATCTCGACTTGGGTCACATTAGCCTGCTGTATAAACAAAGCCTCAGACACAAATGCAGAAATATAACCCCAAATGTCTCTCTCTATAATATTAGTAAAGTCCTGTTTTCATGACACGACTGTCTAACCTGCATTTAATGGCTTTTTTTTTAAAGTAGGAAACAGAAACTGACATAAATATATTTAAATATTTTTTGTTATAGATCCTCTGCAGAAATCAGAAATGGCAAATAATTTGATTGGTTGAAGGTAGACTAAAAATGGTAACCAGATGTTAATATTTAAGTAATGTAGCTGATATAGTAAAGTAAAAATGTTAAGTGCCACACACATATATAAAAATATGAAATGTTAACACTGACAAAAAACACAGAACGTTTGTCAACCACATTGATCACAAACTGCAGAGATAAAAGAAACTGAGTTCGAACAAATTATGCTTAATTTTGTTGTTGGCAAATCATGTCACACTGCATCACACTGATAACACCAAACCAAAATACTGCATATTTGCACCAAATATATTTAATGCTCTAAACTTGCATATCAATGCTTTTTTTTTGTCTTCCACACTGTTTACATTTGATCACTGCTGCACTTTAAGGAATGAAAATGTCATTAAAGCTGTAGAAAACGAAATTTCATTTTGCATAGACGCTATGTATGCAAAATGACAATAAAAGTTGTGTAAGTCTAAGTTAATTTTGATTCTATATCTTTTAATACTGCAGGATGAAGTTATACAAATATGATCAAATTATAAAAAAAAAATAGACAAGAAAGCTCAACTTTCAACACACATGGAGAAATTTTGCTCTCTCTTTCTCACTATTTTTTGTTATAATCTGAAATCAGTTCATTTAAATAGCACATGTTCACAGCTCAGGTCATTCCAAAGCATTTTAAACACTTATTTCAGTGAAATCATACAAAGATTGCTTAAAAATGTCACCAAATAAGGAAACTAAGCTGATTGCTTCGAGTCACTGACTTGTAGAATTCACCTGACCAGGAGGTGAATATAGCAGCAGTGGACAGTTGCTTGTATTGTGTCACTGGCTTTGCAGCAATCCCACATATCGAGCATGTATATGGAAACATTTACATGGAGGAAAACCTCCCTTTAGCAGGAAGAAACTTGCGACAGAACCAGACTTGGTGTGAGCAGCCTTCTACTGCGGCTGTATTTGAAAGTTCAGAAGCACAAAGCCAGGAGTACTTTTATGTTTAACTTCTTCTAAAAGGTTAGCTGTAGTAGTAGCAGCTCCTTAACCGGCTTCCTCTAGGATTCAGGATTCAAGACAAAGGAAGACAGGAACATAAGACAGAACTAAGTGTCTCTTCTATAGAAGGGAACATGAAGGCAGCAGCAGGCCAGCCTCCAGAGCAGCGTGACAGCTGAACAGAATGCCAAGACAGATGAAGCAACTATGGGGAGAAAAAATTACAGGTCATTAAGTTCAAGTGAGAGACAGACAGAGAGATGTGGTGTGATGGAAGGGGTCAGAACCAAGGAGAGGTACTGTGTACAATAAAAAAAAAAGGCAAAACTTTTAAGTTTACAGAATATAAGTTTCAAGATGTCCTAAGCTGATTCAAATATTAGATATTGGTCTGATATCAGGCAAATAAATTAATATCATGTTGCAACTAAAATTTCAAATATTATTATTATCATAACACAAAGCCTCAGTCACAGGTTGATGTAGCCCATTGCTTAATAAGAAATGGGTCAGATGTTCTCACACCTATTGTTGTTGTAGATTGTTCTCTAAATTGAGTAACAGCACTTGATAAAACCGTTTATAAAATTTCACACCACAAAATAAATACTAAAAGAATGTAGGATTCATACTGTGTCAGGTCAATATCGGTATCAGTCATTTCTCAGAGGTGCCATATCAGTACTGTATTGGAAATGACAATGTAATAGAGAATCTAAGCTTAGCTTTCTGCTAATGGTTTAAACCGAAATGTTTTTTTTTTTTAAAGAAACAGCAAAGATACAAGAGACAGTCATAATGTACTCTCCTGCAGGTAATATAGATGCCTATTCCCTGTTTCTTTAGTTCATGTTTCATTCACTACACAAATTCTCATTGAGGGTTTGCTACCACCTCCCTGTATTCTTACTATAAGACATTGAGAAATGTATGCAGTTCATGTTGGGAAAGAGGGACTCTGTGTCCAAACGTCCGCCCTTACCTCTAAATCCCTCAATCACTCTATAGAGCAGAGACTATATGGTGGACTTTATAGTGAAATCAGTTAACTGACAGGTGATCACTACTTTTCACTCCCTGTCGGTCACGTAACTCCAACTCCCCGCACCGTACCTCCGCCATATCTGTTATTTATTGCCGCCACAACAAATCCCATGATGCTTTGTGAGGAGAGATCTTGCAAAGCAATCTGGGATATATCTACTCGTGTAGTGACCATGGATGTACACTACTTTTCGAGGTGCATTGTGGGAACTACTTTTTCATTCACTAGACATTTGGACACCTATCTGAAATGGAGTAACCACTATATAGACCCCAATATAGTGATTAGGGTAGACGTTCGGACACAGATGGAGATTTCTGTTAGATACAGTGGGGCAAAAATGTATTTAGTCAGCCACCAATAGTCCAAGTTCTCCCACTTAAAAAGATGAGAGAGGCCGGTACTTTTCATCATAGATATACCTCAACTATGAGAGACAAAATGAGAAAAAAAAAATCCAGAAAATCACATTGTCTGATTTTTAAAGAATTTATTTGCAAAATATGGTGGAAAATAAGTATTTGGTCAATAACAAAAGTTCATCTCAATACTTTGTTATATACCCTTTGTTGGCAATGACAGAGATCAAACGTTTTCTGTAAGTCTTCACAAGGTTTTCACACACTGTTGCTGGTATTTTGGCCCATTCCTCCATGCAGATCTCCTCTAGAGCAGTGATGTTCTGGGGCTGTCGCTGGGCAACACGGACTTTCAACTCCCTCCAAAGATTTTCTATGGGGTTGAGATCTGGAGACTGGCTAGGCCACTCCAGGACCTTGAAATGCTTCTTAAGAAGCCACTCCTTCGTTACCCGGGCGGCGTGTTTGGGATCATTGTCATGCTGAAAGACCCAGCCATGTTTCATCTTCAATGCCCTTGCTGATGGAAGGAGGTTTTCACTCAAAATGTGACGATACATGGCCCCATTCATTCTGTCCTTCACACGGATCAGTCGTCCTGGTCCCTTAGCAGAAAAACAGCCCCAAAGCATGATGTTTCCACCCCCATGCTTCACTGTAGGTATGGTGTTCTTTGGATGCAACTCAGCATTCTCTCTCCTCCAAACACGACGAGTAGAGTTTTTACCAAAAAGTTCTATTTTGGTTTCATCTGACCATATGATATTCTTCCAGTCATCGTCTGGATCATCCAAATGCTCTCTAGCAAACTTGAGACGGGCCTTGACATGTACTGGCTTAAGCAGGGGGACACGTCTGGCACTGCAGGATTTGAGCGTAGTGTGTTACTGATGGTAGCCTTTGTTACTTTGGTCCCAGCTCTCTGCAGGTCATTCACTAGGTCCCCCCGTGTGGTTCTGGGATTTTTACTCACCGTTCTTGTGATCATTTTGACCCCACGGGGTGAGATCTTGCATGGAGCCCCAGATCGAGGAAGATTATCAGTGGTCTTGTATGTTTTCCATTTTCTAATAATTGATCCCACAGTTGATTTCTTCACACCAAGCTGTTAACCTATTGCAGATGCAGACTTCCCAGCCTGGTGCAGGTCTATAATTTTGTTTCGGGTGTCCTTTGACAGCTCTCTAGTTTTGGCCATGGTGGAGTTTAGAGTGTGACTGTTTGAGGTTGTGGACAGGTGTCTTTTATACTGATAACGGGTTCAAACAGGTGCCATTAATGAAGGTAACGAGTGGAGGACAGAGGAGCCTCTTACAGAAGAAGTTACAGGTCTGTGAGAGCCAGAAATCTTGCTTGTTTGTAACTGACCAAATACTTATTTTCCACCATATTTTGCAAATAAATTCTTTAAAAATCAGACAATGTAATTTTCTGGATTTTTTTTTTCTCATTTTGTCTCTCATAGTTGAGGTATATCTATGATGAAAATTACCGGCCTCTCTCATCTTTTTGAGTGGGAGAACTTGCACTATTGGTGGCTGACTAAGTACTTTTATGCCCCACTGTAACCGGAAGGCTAAGTCTATTACATCAAAGTTGCTCTGTCTTATTTGTGGGTTTTCTGTTTTTGCCTGTTATGAAACATGATGGGTTTACAAATTTTGGAAGTTAGAAAAGCCGAAATCCAATAACTGTTTGGTCGTTGAATGCGCCATAGATGGAGCTAACAACATTTATTGTGAAACTTCCTCCTGACTGAATTCTAATCAAAATCAGTTACTGTATTTTCAACAAAAGCAAGATGCCTTGAAACCAAACCACAGAAAGTACGGGGAGGATAGAATTTATATGAGAGGAAACTGCTTTTGTCTGCAACATGTCAACACATTTCACATATTCTGGCTGCGAGACAGCGAGGACTTCAGCAGATAACAGGAAGGCTGAGCAGAGTTTAAAAAAAGCCTAACTCCTAGTTTTTACAGACTCCACCATCTGCACATCCTTCCTTCAGACACAAATAAAAACCCCTTTAGTCAATGCGGTTATTCCCAACGGCTAATCTGGTAAATTTCAAAATAAGAGGGATTGTTTGATTGCCTGAACGGACCCTGAACACATTTTGTGTGAAATGTCGCATGGCACATTATACAATAGGCATCGAAGCAAACATGGAACATATTGTCAAGTCTTGGTTTGATCCTTTGGGGTTTTTAACTCCTCATGGGAGTGATGCGCCTGTGGCTTTGCTGACTTAGTAATAAGGAAGTCAAGGTTGGATTACTTCATCTTTTAACTCATCTGCATTGTTGAATCTGATGTCTTTCATCTTTATAAATAGATTTTTTTTGCACAGTTTTATATAGAATTTCCTCATAAAGAGAAAAAATGTGATACCATCTCTGCTATTATAGATATATAATACAACAGGGCAGAGAGACTAAACACATTACACCTCTACCTATCAGAAACATGTCACAAAATGACGAACATAACACTACTTTTATCCACTGACTTTGTTTATAATATATGAGAATAGTAGAGAACAGTTTCAGAATTACTATTCCTTTAAACAAAATTTTGAGATTAAAGCTAATTCACTTAGACAGAAAACAAAAAGAGGATTCTCAAACTGAGAAAAAAAAAAGATTGTTCTTAAAATATGGTGGATTAATATCTATTAGGGAGAAACAGTTTGTTCCAGAAAAATTGTATAATTGTCAGCATAGTGAGACATCTGAATAAAAACCAGTTTGTTTCTCTCAATACCTTTTTCATCCTTTTCTCTCTTCTTTTTAAATTCTAGTCTAATTAAACAAAATAACTCAGAAGTGAAGCTTTCTTGCATCAGTCACTGTCACATATATCAGTTTATTCATATCATTTATATAGTAAGGATAAATTTCCAAATTCTTTGCCATCCTGCTTCACTGCCCCATCTAAATCACAGTATTCCCCAGTGTCTTTTCCCCTCTAACAAGCACCAGATCCACGAGGTGCTGAAGAAACAACACCGACATACGATCCTATAGCATCTGTGCATTGGGCCCCAGCCCTAAATCAATCATCATCTCTGCCTTGCCAAGCTGGAGGGGGTTCCACGGGGCGTCGGCGCATCACTCAACAGGATTTTCTCCGGTGGTTCAAAAATAGCAGGCTGCTGCAAATGGCATGCGGACAGAACTCACCTGCTTCCTGGTCCGTGTCTTCCCTGTGCGAAGTTTGATGTACCTTGCTATCAACTCATTTCGTCCTGCCAAGGAAAAAAAAAAAATATTGAAAAAGTCAACATTTTTCTGCTTACCTATAGAAAATTATTACTATTTTCAAAACTGTGATAATTAAACAAAAAATACTGAATAAATAAAGTGAGGCAAGGCTCTCTCTAAATAAGTGATAAGCATCCAATCTGAGGAGACCAAATGAAGAAGCATACAGCATATAAGGTTTATTAATAGAAAAGACATAATAGAATAAGCTAGATATAAGCTGGAACATTTCTGCGTTTCTATAATTGAAACAGTTTCCCCATGCAAATACAGGGTTTATACAGGGCCTTTCAAATGCATTTATATTCCTTTCCAAGCTGTCACATCTTAAACACAAAAGTCTGGCTATTTTATTTGGGTTTAAAGTCATAGACCAACACATAATGGCACAAAACTGTACATTATACATGACTTTCATTTTTTGTTTTGGTAGAAATAACTGAAATCATAATCTTGGTCATTATTTTATGAAAGACGGCAACGCTACAATTGAAGCTAACAGTCTTATGTCTCTTTTCTACAATCTTGCTGCACTGACACTGACATTTTGTTCAGTCTTGTCTCAGATTACCACTTGGACTGAAACAACCTTTGTTAGGGTCTAAACCAGGGGTCACCAACGCGGTGCCCGCGGGCACCAAGGGGCCCTCAAGGACCACATGGGGTGCACTCTTCATCTTCTGAAAACAGAACAACTCACTCAGTGGGTTAATATTTTTTTATTCTGTTGCTCTTCTTTTTAATCATTTATGTATTATTTCATCATGTTAACTATTTCATCATATTTCAGTGGTTTCAAAATGACATTAAAAAGAAAATTAGAAATGAATAAAAGATTAAAATAAGAATAAAAATGAGTTTTTATGGATGATATTTACTGTAGGTGAACACTGATCCCTCCAGTTCATAGGTCAGTATTGGTAGCCCTTCCTGTGACTCGGTAGCCATGAAGTAGCCCTCAGCCATAAAAAGGTGACCCCTAGTCTAAACTATTCTGGTTGAACTCTAGCAGTCCACGTCTTGCAGTCCATGGGTCTTGCAGTCCAGGTCTTGCAGCCCATGGGTCTTGCAGTCCCATGGACCCCTGAGCCCCACACTGCATAATGGCCCACTGTTCCCAAAGTGGATCGGTAGAATGCAGAAAGTGAATTCTGTTGGTCTGTCCAGTATAATGACAATAGAAAAATTAATTTACAATACTATGTCTTAGATCTCACCCATGGGCCATGAGTTTGACACATAGAATGTACAATAACATTTTCTTGCATTGTAAATACACATCTTACTTTTTAAATTTATTTATTTCGTAAATGTTTTTAAAAAGCCCTGTACCATTATCTCACACAAGTTTTTTTTTTTCTGTTTTTTTTTTTTATAGTGGTGTAGCCTATCGCATAAAATCGCAACAAGTTCTATTCAAATGGTTTAAACCCCCCCAAAAAGGAAAATATTAATATTTTAAATCTATGCAAATTACCAGTGGTGGAAAGTAACAAAGTAGACTTACTTGATTACTCTACTTAAGTACTTTTTTTTTTAGTATCTTAAATTTACTTGAGTAATTTTTAGGGGGAGTGATTTCTACTTCCCTACACTTCAAGGAAGCTGCTAGTTATTTGTTCCTTTTGATCAGCCTTTTAGATTTAATGACGTTCCACAGATAATAATAATAATAATAATAATAATAATAATAATAATAATAATAATAATAATAATAATAATAATAATAATAATAATAATAATAATAATAATAATAATACATCTTATTTGCACTGTAATGCACTTTGCATTTAAGAAAAAATCTCAAAGTGATAAAGGTAAAATCCTCATAGAAGGGTAAAATCAAAATGTAAAACCTTTTGAGACCTTGTATTCAATTCTTGCAGAAACAGGAACCCAGATGTGAGAAATTTAGAGCAGATATTATTAGTATTTTATTAAGACGTTAGTTGTTGCCATGTGGCCAAGTTGTTCAGTAGGATGAGTTACCAAAGCAGAGTTGTTGTTTCTTTGTGGTAATAGATTCAGCCTTAAACATCTATTCTCTAATGAAAGTGTGAAAAGAACCGAGACTCTTCTGTTTTCTTTTTGGTTTGATTTTAAATAAGAATAGAATTTAATAATAATAATAATCTAAATATATTATTTTTGTGGCATTTTTATGCTGAGGTTCTTTCCAGGTCTAGAATCTGTAGCAGAGTGGTTTTAAATGCATATACTTTTGAATACTTTAGTATTTTCAAAAGTGAGTACTTCAATAGTTTAACGACTAGATGTTTGACCAAATAACTTTTTCTTGTAGTTGAGTAAGATTTGAATATGAGTATCAATACTTTTACTCAAGTACTACTGCCGAGTACTTCGTCCACCACTGCTAATTACTGATGCAACGATATCAAGATCTATGTCGATATCTGATATGAATATTGTTATTATAGCCAATAATCTGTAGTTAATATTGTTGAAAATATATTTTCTATATCCCCACAATTTTAACACTGAAAAACGACCATGCAGCTAAAATCATTTTTATGCTTTAGCTAAACGCCCCCAATTCTGCATTGCATCACTATTATTGCCACATGCACAAACAAGTACTGCATAGGCAACTCCCTTCCCACCAAAAACACATGATCAAGGGTTTTAAACATTGCATAACTACTACTGATTAGACAAATCGGATATTTTTAAAAAATGACTAACAATGACCTTTACTTGTGTTGGTTTCTAAATATACATTTTAAATACAAATGTATATATATAAAAACATCTTATCATTTTACTTCCTCTTTATATTTGTGCGATACTTCGCTTTGGTTTGTGACACAAAACACATTTAAATTTTTGGTTGTTACAAGAAGTAAAAAAAACAACAACAACAAAAAAAAACAAACATCAAGGAGTATGAATGTTTTTTGTAAAATATATTCTATGTATAAATCAGTGCACCAACACATGCAGAAAAAAAGTGTCATGGTTGTCAAGTGTGTCAGCACCGAAGGCTTTAAGTGTATCATGTTAGTTTATCACTAAGTATACAGTCCTGTCTGTGTGAGGGCTTGAATCAGTCTCAAAATGGCCCCTGGAGCCTTCGCTCAGCTCATGTCTCTGCAGTCAGCGTGTGTTCCTGTGTGCTGCTGACAGACAGGTCACGCTGGCAAAGCAGGTGGAGGCTGAAGCCATGAGATCCTCAGACAGGAGTCAGGATAGACAGGACACACACCAGGCCGGTCCGGTGAGACCACTGGTTTGTATTTATTTGTTTATAGAATAAACCCTTTTTCCCTGACTAAATCACACACCTGCTTTACACATAATACAGATATTAAATCCTAGTAGATATAATTTTATGATTAACACACACTTGATTGGGTGAATCTTCAGTCAGATACAAAAAACACGTTCATTTTTCCCTTGACACCACACCGCAATGCAAGTTTACACACGAGATAGTCATGCTCCACACAGTGGTAAAAACCTACCACATCTTTTTGTGACATACTGTCTCTTTGGTCAGACGTTTCAACACTCCGCCACCCTAAGAAGAGGAAACCAGACCCCGAACGCCGATCCCGTTGGGCATTTCGTCAACTAATAAAAGTGATCAGATTTTGGGCGGAATTCAAAGTGACGTTTCTGTCTGCCGATAATGTGAATTCAAGCTACTCACAGTTCATTCATGAACAAATCAACATAGAAAGCAGTTATTTGGCGGCAGGTCATTAAAGTATTTTGTGCTCTGAACTAAAAAGACAACATTAGACTCCATTACGCTGAAAAATTCACACAGTCAACAAGAATGTTATCTCAGCCTCGCGTTCAACAAAGCAGACGCCACTAAGCCAAAACATACCCATCAAGCTTAGAAGTCAGCAATTATGCCTCTTTTTGATAGAGAGCAAAGAGTAATGATGTTCTTCTAGGGATCAATTAAAAGCTGGAAGAACACTTAAATATATTTGCTCCAAGAGGAAATTGGTATTTAGAGTTAGTGATGTTTATTAACCACAGCTGGTAAAGCAGTGTCTATTGGAATAATGATAAACAGCGGTCTTAGTGTAATCTGGCATAAGATCTTGTGATATTAAAATGCCACAATATTTCTTGTCAAAGTCAGGTCTGCCTCCGAAAGCACCATTAAGTCATTGCATCTGGCGGTGTTGTTATGATAAGACTCAGATCTGTAGTTCAGGGCTTTAAGCTTATTACAGATCTATTTTTGAGACTCATATTTAATTAAAAAATAAGTCGTTCCTGTTGTGTTATTCTGTTATGTGACAGAATCAACTTGGTTTCACTAATATCTGAAGAACTATTGTCCAATTTTGGTCATTTATCTGACTGTTTATTTCAGGTGTTTATTTTTAAGTGAACATTTAAGAAACTAAATAATAGATGCTAATTTAGTGTGATTTATTTATTTTTTTGTCTGATTGGCTCCCATAATTTTTATAGCCTTTCTGAACTACAATTGCACCAGAAATTTGCCAGAGCTACCCGAAAATTAGTTTTTTTTTTTTTCTAGAAAATAAATAAACCACCAGCTGGCAATACCAACTTAATTACCTCAACAGCAGTGATCAAACAAATGGTTTCTCAATTTAAGCTCCACATTTTAAGTTTCAAAATCCCTGCAGCATCAAATTTATTCAACCTCTTAAAAACAAGGATCTTTACAACTAATGGGTTCAGCACTCTAAAAACTTCCAGAAAGACAGCAAAAGAATCCAAGCTCTGAAGGACTTTTAGGTATCCTTGGGATTGTTGTTTCTTTTAAAGTTCCGATGAAGCCCAAGCTTCAGCTTCGGCAATGACAAACATGATACTTTTTGCCAAGATGTCATGATATTTGCAAGATCGAATGCTAGTTCCCTCCGAGATCCCTCTGGGTCTCTGAGCAAGACCCTTAAACCCGGATTGCTCCCTGGGCACTGCAAAGTGGGAGCCCTCTGCTCCCCTAACAGGATGGGTTAAATGCAGAGAG